CGGGCAGCTGAATCGATTCTAAATGAATTTTACATTGATGACGTACTATCAGGTGGAGACACTCCAATCGAAGCTGCAGAAAAATTGCACGAACTTCAGGAGCTTCTAGCAACTGCAGGCTTCACTTTACGTAAATTTAATTCGAATTCAAATGACGTTTTAAGCACTCTGACTGAGGACGTAAAAGCTCACGCCGACGATGTGGAAATTAACACCGAGTATAAAACTAAGACACTTGGCCTTACTTGGTATACAAAATCCGACAGTTTTGGTTACAACGTCAATGTAACTTGTGACAACCATCATTACACAAAACGACTAATGTTGTCTGACATATCGAAGTTATTTGATCCACTTGGGTTCTTGGCTCCGGTTATCATTCGAGGAAAGATGTTTCTGCAACAACTCTGGCGTACTGGATCAGATTGGGATGATCCCTTGTCAATAGAGATGGCAAACATTTGGCATAACTTTCGTATTGACTTACAACAATTACATCACATTCGAATCCCACGTTGGATAAACACCACTTCGACAAGTGCAATTGAATTACACGCATTTGGTGATTCATCAAATCAAGCATATGCGGCTGCAGTATATGCGAAAACAACCATCGGTACGACCAGCTTTGTAAATTTGCTTATTAGTAAAACTAAGGTAGCCCCGTTGAAAGAAACGTCTATACAACGTTTAGAATTATGTGCAGCATTGCTAGCAGCAAAACTTCTACACAAGGTTAAAGGAACATTTAAGTGTCAACTATCACGCTGTATTTTGTGGACTGATAATACAACCACACTGTGGTGGATTAGAACTGATCCAGGCAAATTGAAGCAGTTCGTGGCAAACAGAGTGTCACAAATTCAGTCAATGACAAATATTGAAGACTGGAGGTATATTGCAACAAAGGATAATCCGGCTGATTGTGCATCACGAGGCAGACCGTTTTGCAACTAAAAGATAATCTGATGTGGTGGTATGGACCATCTTGGCTTCGCTTAAATGAGAAAATGTGGCCTAACCACCAAATCAATCATACTCCTGACAGTTTACCTGAGAAAAAAGAGATTAACTCATTAACTACGCAGTTATCAACAGAAGTGTGGGAAATATTTGGACGATATGCTACTCTTGACAAATTAGTCGTAGTCGTGGCGCAATGCCTACGTTTTATTCATATGTGTCAAAAAAGGATGCGTAGGGATGAAAGTTTCTGCACTTGGCAAGAACGTTATACGGTTCTTAAAAAATTAGTAACAATTGTACAAAGGACCGAGTTTACCAACGATTATGCCGCTTTACGGAAAGGCAATCCAATCAACAAATCAAGTAAATTGTTTAAATTGAATCCGAAGCTTGATTCCGACGGAATTATGCGTCTAAATGGACGACTGCAAAATGCGAATATTCCTTCAGATGAACGATGTCCAATGATATTACCCAAATGTCATGATTTTACTACGTTGATTATTAATCACGCTCATAGTCGAACATTACATGGCGGAACTCAAACAACATTAGCATATGTGCGACGGCAATTTTGGGTTATTGAAGGAAGATCCGCTGTGAAGAGAGTGATTAACAAATGTATTACATGTTTTCGTCAAGCCTGTCGACCGCAAGCACAACTTATGGGTAACTTACCTCCAGCACGGTGTAATATATCACAGCCATTCATGCACACGGGCGTGGATTATGCTGGTCCATTTAATGTGAGAGCGACAAGAGGGAGAGGCCATCGTACTTACAAGGGGTATGTGGCTCTATTTATATGTTTTATTACACGAGCTATTCATTTGGAACTTGTGAGTGATATGACATCTGAAACATTTCTAGCAGCGTTAAAGCGATTTGTATCAGTCCGTGGCATATGCTCAGATATGTACATCGATCGTGGTACATCCTTTGTCGGTGCTGATGCTTTAATGAAAGATGAAATTAAATTATTTAAAAAACAAATTGAAGCTGGGTCTGTGTTTGCATCAACCGTTGGCATAAATTGGCACTTTATACCACTCGCAGCGCCTCATTTTGGTGGCCTATGGGAGGCAGGAGTAAAAAGCATGAAATTTCATCTTAAGCGTGTAGTAAACACGGCAACTTTAACTTTTGAAGAATTTTACACGTTATTAAAACAAGTCGAAAATTGTTTAAATTCGCGGCCGCTTACGGCTCTATCTGATGACCCCACAGACTTATCAGCGTTGACACCAGGACACTTTTTGATTGGACGAGCGCCATCTGCCGTACCTGAACCTAATTTGCTAAATACAAAGATTGGTGTACTATTCCGATGGAAGATGTTAAGCCAGATGTATCAAGACTTTTGGCGCCGTTGGTCCCAAGAATATTTAACACAATTACATGCCAGAAACAAATGGACTAAAAGCCAAACAAATGTCGCAACCGGTCAACTGGTCCTACTTCGAGATGAACGATTGCCTCCAAGCTCCTGGTTGCTTGGCCGCATTATCCAAGTCCTTCCTGGCACGGACGGTGCTGTTCGTGTCGTAACCATAAAAACACAGTCCGCCATTGTGAAACGGCCAATTACGAAGATCTCTGTTTTACCAATCGACATTGAAGGACGTCCTGAAGCACACGAGTAATATAGACGCAAGATCCGGTTGTACCTCCACGTCTAGGTGGGAGAAATGTTTAAAATTATCTATATCAATCTGGCAACCACTGTGTGTGGGCTGCTTTTAATGGTTAGCAAGTTGTTTCATTCTTGTTGTTGTACGAGCATCCGTCGTGTTCGGTTGTGTTTCGTGTTGTGCAGTAAATTTGTTTGAGTTTTGTTCTAATTACATTTAAAAATATGTTTTATATGATAAGTAATATTAGAGATAAATAAATGAAATCTTCTTTGAAACTTTAAAGAAAGAAAAACCGCATTTAACGAACAGACTCAAAACCTTCAAAAAAATTATCTTTCCAAAAATCAATTAGAATAAAATTTCTGATATCATGATACTCTTTATTTATTGTTCTCCTTTCTATTTGTTGTGAAAAACTTGACTCTGACATTAGTAACAGATGATACATCCGTATTTGTTGCAAGCCTGAATGTCTTCTTACCGTGAAATAAGCGACTTTTACGTATTTGTTTATGATTGACTTTTAAGGCTTCTTCAGATGATACTCCAATAGGAAGATCAAATGTTCTAATTATATCCATTCTGTAAATAAGTATTTTATGAACAGTAATAGGCATAAAAAACAATTTGTCGTTTTTCAAGCAAACTGTGCTGGTTTTTTTAAGAAGCTTTTGAAGAGTTTGTGGTATATATATGACATCCGTTAGATGACCAACGCAATATTAAAAAAAAGTTTATATACCTATAAGTTCATAATCAATATTTCTTATTGAAACAGACAAATGAGTGTTTTGAAAAGATTCTCTAGCGGTAATGCCATCACTTGAGGTACCACATCCGCATTTTACTTTTTCAAATATGATTCTTAACTGCAATTTGAATTGCCTTTGTATCCATCTCCTGTTACTCTTCAAACGTTTAAAGGTAATCTATATGCTATATGGAGATAGCACTAACACAATTTTATCCATACGTGTAAAATTAATATCCCATATTTCAAATTATTTAAATTAATTGGTTTATTATAATAATATTTTTAATATTTTTACTATTATCCAACTTAATAAAATGTTCACATATATAGAACGAATATCTGTTTGATATGAATATAGGTGCAAGCTTTTAATTTGTCTTTCAATACTATCAACAAATTCTAAATTGCAAATTAAAATATTTAACACAAATTAACAAATATAAAATTGTTTATAAAAATTTTATAATTTAACGAGTTAAATAAACAACCTAAGCCCGGTAATATTCAAAAAAGTTATAGTTTGAAATTTCCATTCAAAAATATCAAATTTATTTGTGTGTGAAATAAATCACGAAATATTTAAACTGTATTAAATTCAAAATTTCAAAAGTTTGAAAGTTACTACAAATTTTGATACGTACTATGGATTTTGATACGTATTAGACTACGTATGTGAGAAGTAAGAACAAAATTTGGTCTGCCGATTTTTGTTTATATATGTAAAACCTAGATATTGCTAAGTGGGACGGGACTGTGAGTAGTACCTTAAGCTAAATGCTTGAGCAAATAATCACAAAAATGCTTACGATATTATAATGAATAACTGCCAATAGTTAACCGAAATATAACTTAAGTACTTAAATTCTGTCACGGTCGCAAATTTATATTTTTTATTAATGAAAACAATTGCAAACAACATACAACGTACAACCTTAACTTGGTTGCAGTCAACTTGTAAAGTGAATATAAATTTTAGCTGAACCGAAAACTTCATCTACGTTTTAAAATTTCAAATAAAAACTCATTATTTAATATTGCGATATGTAGTACCGCCTCAGCGAAAATACAGGAGAGTATAAAGTGTAGCATCACCTTTATTGAATGTTTGAATATGAAGTCTTATCATGGTCAGAATATGGCCTCAAAGAAGGTGAAGTTGAAAATAATCACATGACCAACTTAGAATACCACCCTAAATAAGGTGAAGTTGGAAATAATAATTCAAATTGCGATAATGTTTGTGCAACTTCTGAGAGTGTGTTTGTTTATTTTGTATCGGTTACAACTAAGTTTTTGTTCGTCATGAAATTTTCATTGCCTTGATATTTAATATTTGAGAGAAATGTTTTGTTGTAATATTCTTCATTTAAAAATTTGTCAATTTGAGTTATATTTATTCGGCGTAATACCAATATACCAATTTTGCACTACAGCTTGTCGCATAAATTCGTATTACACGTAATCCTAATTAATAATATTTTTGTAGAAGTGAGCAATTCTCTCACAAAGTTATATGACATTCTATTGTGTATATTACTTAAATAAAAATGTTTTAAAATTGTATACTTAAGTTTGCTAGATAACAAAAAAGGAAACTTAGATTTAAAATGAATAATTTTATGTAGTTTTAAATTTTCTTGATATATATGTAATTTTAATACGTCAATATGAACAAAATTTCAGTTTTACACATATTGGTTTTCCGAATTTTTTCAATGCTTAAAGGCAGGGATGTTTGGTAAAGTCAAGTTGACTGATTATAACATATTTGCTTTTATTGAGAAATTATATTTTGTTATTTTTTGCAATAGTATTTCTATATAAGGTTGGCCGTGAAATATGTACAGTGCATCTTCATATTTATCTGTAAGTACTTCGAAGGCTTTTTTTTGGACTATTGTTTAATCACAGTATTTATTTGCAGTCATCTATCTATATTAATAATATTGGCATTCGACCGCATTATGTGGCCAGATCAAATGTTAAGTGCAAAGAAGCATCTTCAAGTGGAGCTCGAAAACCTGCTGTGAATGCAATTAAGAATTTGTCTTTAGAACTTAATCGGTCACAAAATGGTTTGCAACGCGTGATAGAACATAATGCTAGCATGAGCGATTTCTTTCAATCTGATCGCTTTGAGAAGCTGATTAGTTTTACTGCTAGTGTTTTAAGTTCCTACCAATTGCCTGCTATAAAAATTAGTCCCTGCTTTTATACAAAGAGAAAATCTAATCATTTAATTGAATTTTTACACAACTCAATTGAGCAGAATCGTAATACTTGTTTACCATGTACTTTGTTGAATTCCCAATTGTAAGCGAATATAGTTAGAATGTAAATCCGTTTATTGTGAAATAATTTTAATAAATAATTACAGAAAATTTGTACGTCACTTCAAGACAGACCGGTCTATAGCTGTTGAATTAAAAAGAAATCCAACAATATTATCCAGACTAAAACGAGCTTTCGGAGGTTCATCACCAAAGAATGAAAATGAATTGTCGTCTCAAACAGAAACACTGAAAAAGTTATTGCAAAAGAGTGGAGATAATAAGAATGTTGTAAGTATTTGAATTTCATTTCCTTATGTATTTGAATATATATGTATATAAAACGGCTTGATTAGAATACATTTCTGATTAAAATTTCTATTAAATTATTATTTCAATATGTTGCTTGAACTGTTATGTGTAAAATATAACATCATATAAATGACTTCCAACGGACATCTGTTTTTATTTGTGGAAGTTTCTGTTTATCATTAAAACGCTCAAGGTCCACATTTTTGTGACGTATTGAAACTCACTTTGTACTTTTAGCTTACTTAATAATTAATAGTTATTAATGTTCCGTTGAAGCTCACACAGTTACGCTGTTAAGAAACGTTTCTTCTTTATTATAGTCATAATTATTTTTCTTTTCCTTACAATGTTTGGATTGTTACCATATGTTTCTTTTTTAATATACCATTATTCGCTTAATATATTTTTCCTTATTATTGGCTACCATGGGCAAAGTTAAGGAAGTGGTTAGAGTCAATTAAATCATCAATCTAATATACATATTCCTTATTGATACTAAATATATTTATAGCTTGTATGATAACAATTCTATAAAAAGCTATGTTAAATTACTTAATGCTTCGTAATAGAACATCTGAGTAAAGAATATGAAGATATTTTGTTTTAGATTTAAAATAGATGTCAGAAACTAGAAATATATTCTTTTAATAAGTGTTTAAAAACATTTTCATTAGTGAATATTGTTTTACATTCAATTCGCTCAATGTTTTTTAGATGGAAATGTAATTATTAGTCCTAATTGAGATGAGTACCTCCATCATTGTTCTCATTTGTTTTATTAATTTTTCTATTAACTGAGCATATAATGGTTTAAATATCCATAATGGTCCAAAATATACAGTGGACTGATTCCAATATTTTAACATTACTACCTTTAATTGTGAAATTAAAGGTAAGATTCCTCTCAATCTTATGACCAGTTAGCTGGAATTACCCATACGACTTAACTAAATATCATGGAAATATCTTCGTTGATTTGAAAAGAAATAGTTGTAATATAGTTGCATACACAATACATATGACTGATAGGACTGACGCTCGATATGACTGATAGGCAAACTATTTACAAGAGCAAAAATTAAAGTAATCATCCTTTAAAAAAAAATTTTCCGATTCTTTTTTAATGTAGAAAACATTAATGTCAGTGTGAACAAACTGGTTTCAACAGTTGTTTTTCAATAGCTGTAGACATTGATATCCAGTTATATACCAGATATATATACATACAAGAGTCATTCACTGTTATTAAATTAAAAATATAATTTTTAATTATTGCAATATTGTTCGCAATATAAGCTTATTTTCTAAAATTGTTTTAAATTTTCTTAGGAGAATAATTTGAAAATCGCATTTGCTGAAGGATATATGGCTGCTGTAAATTCTGATGAGATGCCTAAGTCGGGAAAAACAATGAAATATCTAAAAGTAATTAATATATTTATTTTAAAAATTAATATTTTGTTATAAATTTGTAGGTTTTCCAGCAAGTCTTGGTTATTGTTGTATTCATAGGCATTTTTTTAAGTCTTTTTTCATCATCAAATGGTTCTGTCTTTCGGTAAAATTACGATCAATAAATATGAAATAAGTATATATATAATGTTTTGGTTTATATATTTTCTAGAATTCAATTGGGGAATCAAGTAGAGGTAGATCCCGAAGAAATTCACGTAACATTTGATGATGTAAAAGGATGCGATGAAGCCAAACAAGAACTTAAAGAAGTGGTGGAATTCTTAAAAAATCCTGAAAAATTTTCAAATCTTGGTGGTAAATTACCAAAAGGAGTTTTACTTGTTGGTCCTCCTGGTACAGGAAAAACATTGTTGGCACGTGCAGTAGCAGGAGAAGCAAATGTACCATTTTTTCATGCGGCTGGACCTGAGTTTGATGAAGTTCTGGTTGGTCAAGGGGCAAGAAGAGTTCGGGATTTATTTAGTAAAATTTATTTAATGCTGTATATATAACAAAAATATTAAATGAATATCTATTTTAGAAGCGGCCAAGCAGCGTGCTCCATGCGTAATATTTATAGATGAAATTGATTCTGTAGGTGCAAAACGAACGAATTCTGTCTTACATCCATACGCTAACCAGACCATAAATCAATTATTATCTGAAATGGATGGCTTCCATCAAAATGCTGGTGTTATAGTTTTGGGAGCAACAAATAGACGAGATGATCTAGATCAAGCTCTACTTCGACCCGGCCGTTTTGATGTTGAAGTAATCACTAAAAACAACAAATAAAAGTGCATTTTAAATTTAATTTAAATTTAATTTTTAGGTTGTAGTCTCAACTCCTGATTTTACTGGAAGAAAAGAAATACTTTCATTGTATTTATCTCGAATACTTCACGATGAAATTGATTTAGATGTTTTAGCTCGTGGAACTTCTGGTTTCACGGGAGCTGATCTTGAAAACATGATAAATCAAGCAGCATTAAGGTGTTTAAAAATCACATATTTCATTTATTGCTACCATTTACACTACATATTTTTATAATTAGAGCCGCTATTGATGAGGCAGAAACGGTTACAATGAAACATTTAGAAACCGCTCGAGATAAAGTTCTTATGGGCCCAGAACGTAAAGCTAGACTACCAGATGAAGAAGCTAATTTAATTACTGCTTATCATGAAGGAGGTCATGCGATTGTTGCGTATTTTACTAAGGTTAGTCAAATTATTTCACTATAGAAATGTAAATAAATTGATTTTTTTAGGAATCACATCCCTTGCATAAAGTTACAATAATGCCTCGAGGTCCTTCACTTGGACATACTGCTTACATTCCTGAAAAGGAACGATATCATGTAACAAAAGCACAACTTCTTGCTATGATGGATACAATGATGGGCGGACGTGCAGCTGAAGAACTCATTTTTGGGGCAGACAAAATAACATCTGGAGCTAGCAGTGATTTAAAACAAGCTACTTCAATTGCTACACACATGGTGAAAGATTGGGGTATGTCGGAAAGAGTCGGTTTGCGAACTATTGAAACTTCAAAAGGTATATTGGGAAGTGAACCGCTTGGACCAAATACTGTGGAGATTGTTGATGCAGAAATAAAACGTATATTAAATGAAAGTTACGAACGCGCCAAACTGATACTTAAAAGACATACTAAGGAGCATAAGGCTCTGGCAGAAGCATTACTAAAATATGAGACTCTTGACGCTGAAGATATAAAAGCAATTATGAATAAAACGCAATAAATATGTAATTCTTGTTACCTTATGAAATTTTACAACTCCAAATAATAAACAATTATTTTTTTATTAAGTTTTGGGTAACAGTACAAACTAACTTAAAAAAAATGATTTAACGAGCTTTAAAAATTATGCAGGAGATTACTTGTTAATTTACAAGACTTTTATCAATACAAATTTGGTTTAATCGTATGTCCAGCAGGATTTCACAGATTTTTTAATGTATTTTATTATTATATTAAAAAGTAGTATATAGAGTATATGCCTAGTTTTGGTAAAAAATGATGCCCGAGGAAGATGTTTCGCGAAGACATGCTACGAACTACATAGTTTTTTTTTTTTGTTTTATACAAAATCGTCATACGTAGTATACTGATTATGATGGTTATGAAAGGCCAACTTATCATTTGGTTATTTTAATCACCTCAAGGGCTGGTACACTTATATAAATTTGGCTTTTCGAAACACCGATCTTGAAATAGCCATTGAAAACTTTGAGGACTACGAGGTGGAAGAACGAGGTTAAAATGAAACAACTTCCCTACAGCAAGCTCAAGGTCGGCCGGTGTATTATTATAATAACCGGAACTTGTTAGGTTCGTTTGCAATGGTAGCTTTGTGCACTAAGGTTCACTTGAGTACAAATAATGATCTATTGTGATACTACAGCACCGATGTTTGTACTTGTAAGTACTTCCAGAGGCTTATGTCATATAATGTAGTTCTTTAGCAAGTTTGTTCTCACTTTATTAGTAAAATTTGTATATAGACTATGTACGTATATTGGGCAGATTTTAGCAAATTTCTATATAGCTTTATATTGGGCTTTTCAAATCGTACGGACATATAGACAGATTTTGCATATTGAAGATAATTTATTGAACATTTTATAAAGAATTAACATGGAATTATTCATATTTAAGGAGTAATATTAATTATTCCACTTAATTTAAAAGTGAAAATATTGTTCTTAAAATTATATATGATACAAAATTTTTACGTTTGACTTATAGTATGTTCCTACTACCTTCGTTAAAGCAGTTTATTTGATTAAGATCGCTTATAAAATTTGATTAACCATACAAAACACTTTCGTGCTTTTTAACTTAAAGCACATTCACACTGTCTTATTTAAGCGGTTTTGCTCATTAAAGCCAATAATGAGGATGATTAGTTTTTTAAAATATGTGCCATATGTTTTATATGTATAATGTAAACAAACAACAGCTAAGCTGTAAACAAAGGCACTGATAAAGAAAGTATTTAATAAAATTTTTGTTTTTGTTAATGAAATACATATGTAATTGATATATAAAATGCATATAAATAATTCAATATGTGGCAGCATAATATAAAAGATGATCAAACACAAATGTGAAATTCGAACTCGCACTGAAACTTTCGTTTGAAAAGAGTTCTTAAGGAGTGCACACAGTGCATTTAGGGAGGTATTCGTCGCGGTGCTGCAACGTCATTTAGGAATTAAATAATTTAGTCAAATAAAGTAGTGAAATTATTATTACTAAAACTTTGTGTATAAATAATGGATACTATTTCTACTAAAGTTGCGACCCCGACGTGATCCTAATTTAAGAGTCATATATACACATAGTAGAAAAAGTCTACGGATATTCACAAAATTTTTCTAAAATTACGCATAACTTTTTTAATTTTTACTCAAATTCATTTTTATTTCCTGATTTATTTTAAACAAGGAAACAACAATAAAGTTGCAATATTAAAACTAAACAGTTATTCTTTAAAAAAAAATTAAACACAATTATATGCAAAAGTAGCAATTTTGAAAGCAGAAAAAGTCTACGGATATTTCTTAATATTTACATTAAAACAATAAAATTCACAAAAATCTTAAATTTAATAGCCTGTGGGATAACCTCTGCATTTAATAACCTCTGTTAAGCGTCTTTGCATGGACTCAACCAGCTTTGCAGTATCCTGTGCGTTTATTTCTAGCCATTCTTCTTTGATGACGTTTCTTACTATATCCTTGCTGGAAAAGATATGCTGGCGAATCTTATTTTCCAAATAAACCCACAGATGTTCTATAGGACTAAGGTTTGGTGATTCTGGTAGTGTTTGAAGTTGCCTGAGAGCATAGTACAGCATCCAAATCCGTACTATGACTGCCGTATGCTTAGAGTCATTGCCCTGCATTCTGACATTTTCTTTCAAATTTGTTTTTAGAATATTTAGAAAACCATATTTCTCCATTGTATCTTGTACAAATTCAAGTCTAACCGCACCATTACTTGCTATACACCCCTAAATCATTACGCCGTCACCAACACGTTTTACTGTTTACGGTTTATCACAGGTTGTGCATAATTTTCTCCATACAAGTTTTCTAACTTTGATTCCAAATATTTAAAATTGACTCTCATCGGAGAAAATAACTCATATTCAGAACTTTATAGGTTTATTTATACGCTTTCTTGCACGGCTTAATCATTTTATTCTATTATATCTGGATATGTATGGCTTCTTTCCTGCAATCAGGGTATAATACATGCATTTCTTTAAAATTTTCCGCACAGTATCAGGACATATTTTGTTTTCTAGTATTTCGACATTATGTCCAGCTAGTTTGAAGGCTGTTACTCTTGGATTTACTTTCATCTGGTTGATTATGGTACATCTTTCTCTATTTGACAGAAATGAGGGGCGGCCAGTGCGAGGTTTAGAAAAGTAAGTACTCGTCTCTTTGAAGTTATTTATAACTCTATACACAGATGAATATTGACAACCAATATCTTCAGCAATTTTTCTTTGGCATACGTCATCTTTCCAAAATTTATAACTGATTTGTCGCTCACTAAAACTAATTGCAAGTCTCTTATTTTATATTGTAAAAATTTGTTGCTTATATAAAAAATATTATTATTCAGTGATTAATTTTTAGACTCTTCAGAAAGTCAACTAATAATTAAACATCATTTAATGAAACGTTTATGCTTGCAAGCGAATTTAAATTAACGGTAAATGTAAATATTAAGAAATATCCGTAGACTTTTTCTGCTTCAAAAATTGCTACTTTTTCATATAATAGTGTTCAATTTTTTTTTAAAGAATAACTGTTTAGTTTTTATATTGGAACTTTATTGTTGTTTCTTGGGTTAAAATAAATCAGGAAATAAAAATGAATTTGAGTAAAAATTAAAAAAGTTATGCGTAAGTTAAGAAAAATTTTGTGAATATCCGTAGACTTTTTCTACTATGTGTATATACAATAAAAAGTCGTTTTAACGACAAGTTTCATCTATAGAAGCTCTTTTCAAAGCTGTATTAAAGAGATCGGTGTGTCCGTGAAAGTGCAGCCATTTTGGCATGAATGGCCGCAGGTTTGGTTCGCACCGCTAGAAATGCAGCTACAGGGATTTCTAGCGATGTCAATAAATTTAACACCCTCGTTTCTGCGATCGAGTCCAGCGTCGTTGCTCATGTAGCTGTGGCGGTTTAACACCCTCCAACTATAGGCAAATACATCAATCTTAAGATTCAGATTATAGAGCGGTAAAGTAAGAGCGAGCAACGAAAGATACAGCGGTTAACTTAATGAGCTGACAGCTTTGTCAAAAGACAAAGTTAGTAATGAGTTCCTGAAGTCTTTCTGGCTCCGGCGTCTACCACCGCAAGTACATGCTATCTTGCAGGCATCAAGTGTTGACCTGGTACAATTATTCACATGGATATTTATAGTTACAGAGGTAAGTTATCCCATTGTCGGCGCAGATTTTTTAAGCACTACGATCTACTGGTTCACATGAAGCAGAAACGACTGGTTGATAACAAACCTTTCGTAGCAGCGAAAAGTTCTGCAGAGGGGCAAGTTGGAAGCATCCGAATATCGCGATCTAGCCACATCGCACATGCAACATGTAAGTCGAATAATTCATTGAAACTCAGTGCACCGAAGATTGCTCAACCATGACGTCTAACTGGGACATGGTGTTGAAGAACGACGGTACTTGGTCACCATGCATCGATTATCGTATGTTGAATGCTTAAACAAAGCTCGACCGGTATCTGTTTCCTTTTTTGCATGATGTAACAACCATCCCCCATGGAAAAGCATTTTTTGGAAAGTTGATTTACAGAAGGCGTACCACCAGACTCCAGTAACAGAATGTTTTATACCGAATACGGCGATTACTACTCTTATCGGTTTGTTCGAATTTCGTTTCATGATTTTTGACATACGAAACGCTGTGAAAACATTCCAACGATTTATCAATGCAACTAGGGCTGGGCTAAACTTTGTTTTCGCGTATATCGACAACATACTAAAGACGCTAGAGAACATCGAGTATATTTTCAAATGATTTTCTAGTGACTTCGGTAAGCTGGTATGATGGTAAATTTTGCACAGTAGGAATTTGCGTACAACGAGATGGATTTTCTGGGTCACACCATCAGCGTGCACGGTTTTAAGCCTCCTAAAAGCTAAGTAGCTTCAATACTTGATTTTCCCCTTCTATCAACGATGAAAGAACTAAGACGTTTCCTGGAAATGATTAATTTTTAGCGACCATTTCTACACAATGTCATCTGCAACCAGCGAGGTTTATTCAATCTTACTCCAGAAAATCGCAAAAACGACAATAGCAAAATCACAATTAAAGCTGACCACCGATGCTTCCGATACAGTAGTATGCGCCGTCCTGTAGCAGATTGTAGAGGGCAAGACTCAACCTTTAGCGTTCTATTCGAAGGCGTTGAATACAGCACAGTTAAAATACAACGGGTAGAGAGTTGAACGCCATCGCCTAAGCATTCCAAGTATGCACTCAAAGGACGTGAATTTATCATTTCTGTTTACGAAAAACATAGCCGCGACGTGCTAGACAGCTAGAATTCATAATCCAGTTCTCCATGATATCCGCAATATGACACCAGCAATTGTTATATTGCTGGCGCAGACAATTTTGTGGCCAACACTCCTTCCCGTATTTCGCCAATCGAATTTGAAGCAGCAGAGGTCGATGTGATAGCAAAAGCACAAGATTTAGATGACGAGCTACGTCCTCTACTTGATAACCAACCCGATACTTCTTTGAAGCTCTTTGTGTACGTATTACTTATCTGCAATACCGAAGTATTTGCGATATATTCAAGGTAATGTTCACCATTCGTCCCAGCTAGTTGCCGTAAGTTAGTAACGTCAAAATTACATAATTTAGCACATCCAAGGGTGAGAGCGACATGTAAACTGGATCAAGCAGGTTTCGTCTGGCCAGATTTAGCAAAGGACGTTTAGTTAAGAACTGCATGTCATGCCAGTTATCTAAAGTCCAAAAGACTTTTAAAACCGCTTTGCATCGCCATAACACTAACAACTGGACGCGTGCATTTCCGTTGATAATGCTGGGGTTGAGGACTACCCCAAAGGAAGATCTTGGTGATTTACGAGTACCAATACAACTATTGTCATAAAAACGCCAAAAACTAGGTGAAACGGACTTCGTTTTGAACGTGGTAGTAGGCATGGGAAACATCCAGTCTATGTTCCCAACGACTTAAAAACTAGTAAGTTTGTGTTTGTAAGCATTGCTCGAGTAAAGGCTCCACTGGAACAACCATATGAAGGACCTTTTCAAGTAGTGTAGCGAGGGGCTAAGGATTTTATGATTAATAAGAGAGGGAACAGGTGTACTGTTGCAATTGACAGGTTGAAACCAACTTACCTCAGCAGCATTGAGGACATTCGTCACCCCCCTTAGCTAATCGTGAGAAGGAAGAAGTATATGAGAAGAAGGTTCCTAAACTACCAGCTGACTTTTCAAAGATTACACGTGCAGGTCAATCAATACGTTTTTCAACGAAGTTATGTGACTATCACAAGTAACTACAACCTGTATTCGACTTTTATATCACGCCGTCGTCCAAACACCACTGTTAGGAGGGAGGTACGGTGGCAGCATAATATACAAGACGTTCCTACGCAAACGTGACATTCTTCGACTTCTTAAGGAACACTTGAAATGCACACAGTGCATTTAGGAAAGTATCCATCGCGACACTGCAACGTCAACACGTCTCTTAGGAATTAAATAATTTAGTTAAAAAAAAATAGTGAAATTATTAACTATTTTATACTATCATGAACACATCATGAACATGAACTTGAAAACCGGTTTCCTAAAGATGAGAGGGGGAAAAGCATTTGATGTTATTTTATGAATTTCAAGCAAAAAAAAATTTGCTGCTGCACTATTACATAAGCGTTTCTTACGTTTACACAAAACAAAACAAATTTCACGCTCATGAGAGTTCATGATAGTGTATATTGAACTGACAGTTCATGTTGTCGTCAAGTTCATCTCACGTTCATGATAGTGTAAATAGGCCGTTTGTATTTTATAAATAAAATGTATAATTGATATATAAAACTAAACAAATGAGTTTGTATATTAAATATATATATGATATCATTGTACAATATACATTACTTAACAAAAAGTATCTATTTCAGTTGGATTTCCACTGAAATATAAGCAAACAAAAGCTCTTCTAGCACTGTTTGACACGTAAAATTTTTTTACATACATAAATCGATTTATGCCAATGAAAACGACTAAATCTTAATTTGATTAACATAAGTTATTTTAGCTGTACGGAGAACACATGATATTAGGTTAATCATTAATTTTTATTAAAAAGCTGAAATTTTCGTTATAGCTTCGTTTTTAAAAGTATTTTTAATTATTAATTGAACATCCTGCGAGCAATTCATAATTTTAATGCTTTTTTTTTAAACATCCTTTATTGGATATGAATAGTATAATCTTAACTATTTTTTAATTTATTAGTTTTGCTGAATTGTACTTAATAGATGTTAAGTAATGCGTGTGCAGGTTTACTGAACCAGTGTTCAGCTGCCATAGAACTCATAATAACTTCGAATTACTACGACTATGGGTTCGTGTTCTTCTTTAAACAGGATATGGCCTTTAACCTATGTCATATCTAGACTATGATGCGTGAACCTGTTTTTTCATGTTGATTATCACGTCGACATAACAGCACATCATGGATCTAGAAAGGAAAACTCGATAAAGCCACTATTGTGTCTTTAAACGCAAGCACTATTGTGTCTTTAAACCCGGTTAAAATTTACCCTTTTCCGGGTATCGCGGATCTTTGCCGATAATTTTTAATAATAGTAAATTTTGTAATAATTTTGGGGAGTAAAACCTAACTCTGAAGATTTTAAGAGCATTAACCGATTTATTATTTATTCGACAAGAATATATCATTATGAACTATTCTTACATTTCTTGCTTGTTAATTATTATTAATTATATGCAATTATACAAATATTTTGTTTATGTCAGAGAACTGTCATTTTTTCCTGTATTCCTTTTTTATTCATTATTATATTAAATAAAGTGAAGTAAAAACTTGTCGAAATCATCGGATCGTCTGTATCATGTTTTGCTCAAATATATAATAGTTGAGATCAACTTTTAATAAGAAAATAATGTGTATAAATATGAGCCTTGAAGTGATTACTAAAATTTTAGTGTTGCGCTGTGTTCCATTCTCATTTGTACTCTGTAACAGGGACCAACTTAAGAACATGACATTTGTGTATTACCAATTATCCGAATAAATTTTGCATGTCTAAAAGTATGTTATAATACTTTATATTTAGAAAAAGTTTCCTAAACTTTAAAATTAGAATTAACCGTGAATATGGTTGAATTTATTGAATATATATGGAATAGAGACAATTAAATCACGAATTTCCTTATTAAAAGGAAAGAGTTTTATTTAATATATTTAAAGTTTATAAATTATTTATAATGGCTTCAGTAAATACTAAAAATTTTGTTGGGTTGGACCATTTATCGCCGTTAAATACAAAAAATGTGGATCCATCCTTATTTGGAAATGAAGGTAACAATATTTACTCTACAATTATTAATAATTTTACATTTAATTATTTTAATTTATGATTATTAAAATCTATTCAAATGGAGTAATCACTAATTTATCTTATATTTCTATTTATTTTGTAATAAATATATCAAAAAAAAGTGAGTGAAAAATCAATGAATTGTGGAAAATGCTTGGCGCATGTACCTTACAAGCCTTAATGGGACACATATGATGTCTTCTTCCGTTAAACAAATTCATATATAAAATTGTCAAATTTAGTTTTCCAATCTATTTGTTTTTAAATTGTTTAAGATTTAAATCATTTAAAACATATACTAATAATCAACATACTAATTAAAATGTTAATTAGTCTGTTCAATATGATTTTAAAAGATGCATCTTGAAAGGGTTTTCTTTACTAAGTTCAAATACTATTTAAGAAATAGTGATTCAAGTAGCAAAATTAATAGTTAGCAAATATTTGGTTGGAAATGCATAATTAATACACTATATCTCAAATATTGCTTGAAAAAATTTTGTTTCACAAATATTTAAAATTTCTTTAAAAAACTACTGCCAAAAAAATAAACTATTTAAATTATATATAAGGGATGGTGTAACCCCTTATAAGGGAGCAGTAATCCAGTAGAAATAACATTTTCTTGATTTTCTTTCTACGAAATTTATGTTATAAAAATTAAAATAATGTTTTAATTTCAAATGAGACTAACAGGAAATAAAAATGAAAACAAAGAAAAGTACAGGTGTAAATAAAAATGAAGATAAAATTTATTATTTGAGCTAATTCGCTTCCTTAGTGGTAAAAACTTACAAATGATTTATGAAGCTTATGACTTTTGACTTATGTTTTAAAAGGCTACAAATAGCAGTTATCTTTTCCACAATTTCTTACTATCAAAACATCAAATGCATTAATATGGATTCTAACAATACACACAGCTATTATAAGACTCGCTAAATTGCCGTGGTCCCGATAGCAAACTCCAATTTCAGCTACAAGCCCAACATAGACAAAAAATCTCACCACTCTGCCAAGCTGAAATAGTAAGGACGTGTGTGAGTTAGGCTAAGTTGATGCTAAACCAAATGGGAAATTTTTTGGGATTTTTTTGCACTGCATACATTTAGCCATTTATCAACACGTATCGACACATCACTACATTATCGGCACAACTTAGAATTTCCCTCATTTAGAACTCAATTTAGGACGTGTGAAAGTTAGGCTACATTTTTTTTGCAAAAAAAAAAATTAAGACAAAAGGCATGAAACAGTAAAAGATTTATTAAAAAAAATAAGCAAACGTCAATTTCATGTTGGAAAATATAAGAAAATAAATCACCCAAAAATATTTTAAGTTTTTTTTATTTTATTTTATCCTTTAAGTAAAATCTTTAAAAGCCTCACTATCCCATACGGAAAGGACTTATCCAATACGGATCTGGTCGTGCACCCAAATTATTTAAGTTTGATCTTTTATTTTTCTCTACACTTGTGTGTTCTTAGATTAATTATTCCTTCTTTCATTATTAAAGACAATTCGTTGTGTCTTCCCAACAGTAAACTACTTTTCAATAAACATTCATGTATAAATAGAACATTGGACAATATCGTACAGCATAAAAACTAACATCGCGAAACTTTCAGATACCATTCTTCTAAGTCTAAGTGTTTTTATTCTTTCCACTGGGACAACTGGTTAAACAGAATGTGTGAATATGATACGTCTGAAAAGTTTTACATTACAATAGAGTTCATATGGTCTACGGTCTGATATTACAGTTCCATGTTCCAGCTAGTGCACTGGGATTGTCAACGTTCGAGTAAAGATTTGCAACAACACTTTGTTTTTAATATAATTATTACATTGTGACTATTTTGGGAACCTCTTACAAAATAAACTAATTTTTACTTCTTGTCCTCCGTTGTCTCTTATTATCATAACCTACTATCATTAATCAAAATTGTGCTGTCTAACCTTTTCAAGTAATTTATTCACATCTTCAATACTATCAATTTTAATGGAGAAGTACGAAGTGTTATCAAAATTTCTTCAATAAAATTCATTTAGAATTTATATTAATTAAAACTTATTTTTAGATACTTACTTTAAAATGATTCAATAAATAGTTAAAAGTTCTAAATAAATTCATTTTTTCATGTTTATGATATAAAGCTATAATATTGACAATTATTTATTATTTCAGATGCCACATGCCAATCATGCTCCGTAGATGTAAGCATATGTTTATTTACATTTAATTTAATAATAATTTATTATTTTTTTAAGACATACGGAAATCGCCACTCCCGTTATGGAAACCGTAGCGACAAAGAACGAAAAATAGGACATAGGCGCGTAGGCGAAGGTGGTGAAATAACATATAAAAAAATCCAAACATCACAAATTATGGGATCTATTCAACTAGGAATACAACATACCGTACTAAATGCCTCTTATATTAAATGTTTGAATTTGGTTAAATGTTTGAGTTTTATAAATAGGTTGGAAGTTTAGCATCAAAACCGAAGCGGGACTTACTTATGATGGATTTCTGGGAAATTGAGAGTATTACGTTTCCATCGGAAGGGTCTAGTTTAACTCCTGCACATCATTATAGTGAATTTAGATACAAAATCTATGCTCCTATTGCGTTTCGTTACTTCAGAGATCTGTTTGGAATTCAGCCTGATGATTTCATGGTTAGTAAAACACACATGGGCATTGCATATATAGAGTTAACAAAATTATAGTTTGTGCTTTAGAAAAAAATTACTGCGAATTTAAAGTTTATCGATGCCGGTAGGAAACATTTTAAAATACTTCCATGTATACTTTTTTTTCGTCAAGAGACTGTCCAGAGCACGAAGCTCAAACATCTGTTTTTTCGTAATTTCGTCAATTGAGTACATTTTTTAGCCTGTATGTTTTAATTTGTCGTTATTGCAGTTGTATTACCGCAGCTGTTCTTTTTGGGAATGTCCACCGCGTTTTTGCGAGTTGTGAAAGAGCTTTCCATTTAAATCTGCTCAAACACATTTCATGTACAATGCTCCTAGGAGATGCTAGATGCCCTAGAGTCTCCATGAGTAGTTCCTGTTCTTCGTTAAACCGGTCGCAGCGAAAGGCTACATGTTCTGCGCTTTCTGTCGTTGTGGCAGTTTGGGCAGTAGGGATTACATGCCAGCTAAAATCTGTAAAGATATTCTAAAAAGCCTCCTATCGGACACTGTTCAATAAGCGCAGGCGACAAGCAATGCACTGCGTATATATATCTGTGTTACCAGTTGTATCGGATGCTTTTTTGCTGCTCCCCATATAAAAGCGGCATATAATATAATTAAGTCCGTAACCATCGACAGAAGATGTCTTCTTTTACCCTGAGGACCACCTATATTGGGATTCGTGTAAGTGCACTATTTACTTCCGCTGCCTTAGAGCTAACTGCTGTAAGGTTCTGTTTGAAGATCAGTCTTACATCGATCATGACTCCAAGGTATTTTATTGCTTCTTGTGACAATATTTCATGCCCACCAAATATGAGTTTCATCTTCTTTTGCTTTCTTGCGCTAATCAGCATCGCTTCTGTTTTTTGAACCACAAACCTTAGACCTGCATTTTTAAGTCAACGTTGTACTCTTGTCACTTGTCTCTTGCCACTAGTGCAATGTCATCAGCATATCCAACAAATGTCATTTCATCGGCATGTTTTATTTTCAGGACTCGATCGTACGTAGCATTTCGCAGTGTAGTTCTCAGAACCTTGTGGAACCCCGTCAGTGACCTCATGCTGTTGTCTTTCTTTCTCTGTCTCATATTGTAGTATCCGACTTTTAGTACTTTCAGAGTCTTAATCTGAAGATGTCAGAGTTTTTAGTTGTTTATTTTAGAAAACAAAATATAAATGACACATCAGGCGTTTTATTTTAGAAATTGTTTTTGCAATTGAAAGGGTTGGTGTAACCAACTTTGTTTATTTTGTTTATATTACTTTGTGTACAAGACCAAAAGTAATAGGTGTTTTTTATTTTTATGTTTTCAAGGCAAAAATATTATTATAATATTATTCAATTGAAGCCACATTAGCGTTCGCAACTAGCTTGATCGAAATGATAATATTCATTAACTGAAATGTATTGGTGGTGTCGTAATAGCCGTAGTCAGTAGGGTGGGAACTCTTGACTCGAGATTGTTCATGAACTGTTCTGTTTTTTTACAACTGTTTAAAGCGCTCCAAGACACAATCTCTCGAAGCTTGGAGGCATCGTTGACATTTTTAATAGTCAATTAAAACAGTTAGAAGTTCATATGCAGCATTAATACTACTTTTATTTGCAGTGAAGCTAATAGTGGCTCCTCTTTTTTGTCTTGTGACTAACATTATTCAATTTAACTAACCGCAAATATATGTCGTCAATTATGTTCTCATGTATTTACATAATAATAAATTTTGATATATAACACAAGCACAAACGAGGTAGAATAACGTTAGGAATCCTTGGTTAAACTAAGAGTTGTTTATGTTAAACCTTATGTTAAACAGTTTTGGGTAAGATAAAATAATTGTTTTAGAATAGCTCTAAAAAAGTAATTAAATGCTGAGAAATTAAATTTTAAAATACGAGTATGTTTCTATACACAGATGTCAATGTGTTCAGCACCATTGCGGGAGCTCTCCAATCCAGGAGCTTCAGGTTCAATTTTCTACTTGACGAATGATGATGAGTTCATTATTAAAACAGTGCAACATAAAGAGGGAGAATTTTTACAAAAACTTCTTCCAGGGTAATAAATGATTAAAAAATTATCAAAACTTTCTTTTACTAATGTACATTAACTTTAAATTAGTTACTATATGAATCTTAATCAAAATCCTCGTACACTTTTACCAAAATTTTTTGGTCTCTATTGCTTGCAAACTAGCAATAGTAAAAATATTCGTTTGGTAGTAATGAATAATTTGTTACCGTCGTACATAAAAATGCATTTCAAGTATGATTTAAAAGGATCAACATTTAAACGAAAAGCTTCTAAGTCAGAGAGAGCAAAGAAGTCACCTACTTATAAAGACTTGGATTTTATGGAACATCATCCAAATGGTATATTCTTAGAAGCCGAGACCTACAATGCATTAGTAAAAACAATTCAACGCGATTGTACTGTACTGGAGTCATTCAAAATTATGGACTACTCGTTATTGGTTGGAATACATAACTTAGATTTAAATGTTAAGGAAAAACAAAACGACAAAAGTAAAGCAAAACCTGTTCAACCGGAAGAATCGGATATCGATGATGGAACGGAAATGGAAAATTTGGGAATAATTGAGGGTGGCGGTGATGGCACTGCTGCACATAATCAAACTAGGTTAATTTAAAATGTTTATGTTTAAGTTTCGATTTAAAATTTAATCATTTTCAGTGCTTTATACAAAACTGTTATAAATAGACAGCGTTTGGTGGCACATTCAACAGCCATGGAAAGTATTCAGGCAGAAAGTGAACCAATAGACGATGAAGATGATATTCCGTAAATTTTGAAATTTGTGTCTAAAATATTATAAAAACGTTAATAAATATTATTTATAGACCCGGTGGCATTCCAGCACGAAGTGAAAAAGGAGAAAGGCTTCTCTTGTTTGTTGGCATTATAGATATTCTTCAATCTTACCGATTTAAAAAAAAATTGGAACATACAGTTAAAAGTATTATTCATGATGGGGTATGTAGACTAAAATTTAAAAATAATTTTGTTAGTTCATACAGTTTATAATTTTGGTTAGTGGTTTATGTACTTTCTGATATTACTAAGACCTTTTTAAGAAATAAAACTATATAAAGAACTAAAGATCAATGACATAAAATGTTGATATTGCATATATAATCCACTGAGTAAAATATTAAAATTTTATTTTTCTGTCTTCCTGCTTTTTAAAAATGTTGCTATTGTCCATACTATAATTTATCCATACTCTTACACATTTACCCTGCTCACTGTTTAGGTCACCTTGAATACACAAACTATTAGTGAAGTTCCCTCATTCACTGTTTGTGGTAACCACAGGATTCTTATAGTTCACATAAACTCGAATATTTTTTCTTAGGCTATCAATTCATCATTTCTTAGATATATAATACTATTTTAGCGAATGGATAATATCCTGTTATATAACAATATGGAAGCTTTGACCTAATTCTGTTCACATATGTTTGTTAATCTCCCAATCTTCAACTGTTATGCGTTTCTTTACAATTTACATCCAGCAAAAACATGGGATCTAAAATACTGAACCCAGCAAGAAAAAAGTTATTTATTAAGACGAGCAACTTAGCGATACAACAGTGACTCATTCACATATCTTTAAAGGTAATTACATCGCATCTGTCCGCTTTGCAGACAACGCATCACTTTGCACGATTAGTGGTGTTTAACTATCCTAACTATCATTGTACGTCGCATCACAAATTTCCACTGAGCATATGAATTTGCAACAAAGCCTTTCAGTTGTTAGTTGTGAGATCAATAAAATTATATCCGAATTCCTTAAACTGATTCTTATCTAATTATCCATTCAAAATGTATTAAATGTAAAATTATATGTTTTTAAGTTTCAACTGAGGGCTTTTGCCATTAATTACTTGTAAGCCTCATAATAATAATTTTTATTATCAATAATTGCAAGTTTAGATTCATGAAATATTTTTATTTAAATATTATCAGTTCTTTTCAGTGAGTAAAAGTAAACTGTACAGTTTTAATCATAGTGTACTGTTTTGTACACTACTTTTTTACTGCCTTTAAATTCTGATATTTTCATTAGTGTTTTTTCCACAAACGAAGTGTATTTTATAACGATATTTTCACGACCGTAATGAACTTTTATAATAATTTGTTCACAAACGAATTAAAATTTTTAGTGTTCGAGCGTATATTTTAGTGTTCGTCGCACAGCACATTTTGGAACAGTTTGTAATGTATATTGTTCTTTCCTTTGTGTAAGTAGAAAAAGATTTTATTAACATTTGTTATCATGCATATTGTTTGTATTTCTGAAATCTTTTACACATAATATCTATAGAAAAAAATATTTAACTTGTCTCTGCATGGACACTAAACAGTTTATTACGTACGTTAAATAGTCGTTATGGAAGTTCACTACGTTCGTGAGAAAAACACTACCAACTAAAACTAAAAATTTTATTTTAGTGTTTCGGAAAAGTAGCTTTCATGTTTAGTCCACGAACACTACACTAAATATTATTTGATGTGTTTTAATAAGAGGCAGTTCACTATGATTGTGTAGTGTTTACTTTCGTTTACCATTTTTTATATATCAGAGCAATAGTACTGGGTGATGCCTTGTATAATGCAAATCATATCATATCAGAAAAATCTAAATTATTTCTAATAATCTGTATTGGTTATTACAGATTTTATGTATTTAATTTTGATACTTAAAAAAAACTGACCAAAAAAAAGGCTTAAACGTAATTTTAAAGTTAACTAAGAATAAGGAACTGGACTACCAGGTCCTTCACCCGGATATAATTATATTAACATTTGCCACTAATTCAAGATTTTGGATTATTTTTATTAAATTTGGACAACAAACGGCCAAAAAATTATTTCAATTAAATGAAATCTATGAATAGTTATTACAGTCCTTAAAAATTAAGGAAATATTGAACAATGATGTTAAAAAATATTTAAATTTAATTTAATAAAATAATAAAAAATTTTATGACTCTTCGATTCTAATACTAATATTACTTTTCTTTAACGTTTTTCTTTAAAAAAAAATATCTACTACTGAATGAAATGAATGCTCATTTCGTTAAAATTTTTAATTTAATATTACAATAAGTTATCAACAAATTGTACTTAACTTTTTAACATAGTTGATATGAAATAATAAACTATACTAAAAATACATTATTAAACATTAAATTTCTTTATAGGATACCGTGTCAGTCTGCAGACCTTCTTTTTACGCTCAAAGATTTCAAAACTTCATGGCAAAAACAGTATTTAGGAAAATACCATCACGTAAGAATTACTCATTTACTTAAAATTTATATTTGATATAGTAGTTTTAGCTTATTTAGATTCGATTGGAATCAAAATAAGTATATATATAATAATAGCAAAAACAAATTATCAAGTCAACAATTTCAGTATTAAGGCTGTTTGTTCTTATGATAGACCCGATAATAGCTCCGATAAAAATGATGACAAAAGTAACAGATTAAATATACAAGTACACATTGACTAATGTGTTCACTTAGTATTATTGCCTGTCGTATATGTATTGACAAAAGCTTCAATTGGTTCACTGTTTATTAGCTGTCATAGATTCAGCATAAGATTGAACATGATACGTCTGCTTTATGTTATGTATGTAGTCCGAAATTTAGTTTTGACAATTTACTGGCGTCACACTTAACTCGAATATATTCAGTGAGGGATATTTAGTTCTGGGATAAATGCTGATTTGACCTGCAAACATTCCTTCTGTGTTCCATTTCATGCATGCTAAGTGTAGAAAATAGTGGGAGATCTATGAAAATTAACACATTTTCTAAACATTATAGCAGTTCTTACCTTGGTGATCCTGTTAGAGATATATATATTTAAGTTTATCTCATATTACTTGCAGCTATCCATAGATCCTGAACTAAAGCGATATCGTAGCAGTCCTTTACTAATGTAAGGAGAAGTTTAGCAGATATGGTTTTACAACAGTGGTCATTTATTTGCTGAATCTTCAGCATTGTCATCTGATCTGATTCATCTGATTGATCATTATCAATTAACTCTGTTGTGCGGTTGTTGCTGTTTTTGTCACACTGATGATGTTTTTTAAAACACAGGCGCACGCTCTCTAAACCGCATGATATCTTTCCAAATCGTGCGTACAAAATGTCCTCGGCCATCTTATCAATCTGAAAGATGTAATTCGGTTCTTCAGCCTATAAGGTGGGCTTAGTGACTTTTAACACCATCCTATCATCAGATGACACGTCAGAATAATGTCTTTGTAGGTGTCGTAGCGCATTCTCAGGTTTTACCATTCGAGGAATGAGAACCTTCGATTTGCTTTTTCTCATAGGCCCTGAAGTGTTTTTTCAATATCTTGTACTTAGTTTAATGTCAGATGACATTGTTGCATTTAATTTAGTGTTCATTTTGTTAAACATAGCATATAACAGCTTTACTTCTACCATTTTCTGCTGTTCTTGAAAAATTTGTTGTCATATTGCTGCAACTCAATTAGTTCTACGATGAAATGCTGTTCAATTATCATCTGCACCAAGGTTGTTATCGATATGAACCATTTATTTTCGTCCTTATGCAGCTTAATTTCAACAATAGTCTCAATTTTTCGTTTATGTTTTTCAAAAGTATTTCTTTGATTTAGGTTATATCTGAGGACGTAAACAATTTTTTATTAGCGAAAAAGGTCGACCTTTTCCATCAATTTTTTTGCCCAAATTAACCTATCCTTCTCTTCTTTCAACAGATTCGTCTTAAGTTTAAGTGAAGCATAGGGGTAAGAATAAGAATTTGTACCTAGATTTAGCTTAAGCTCCTCATTACTGCTTTGTCTCTCTAATGGAGCTGGCACCTATCAAATTACCCAGAGAGCACAGAAGTGTTTCTTGATCAGTGGTGTTAATGCTTGCGATATTTTTGTGATCCGAGTCAGCAAGCTTTGGTATCCAGTAGTTGACTTCAAAATATAAAAACACAAACATATTTTATGCTCAACAAACAATAGCGACCACCAAAAGTTTGAGTTCTCTGATTCTTATTATAATAAATTTTTTAAACTGCAGTTGTGAAATATATATGTGTTTAAAATTTATTTTCAACTTATCTATATACATAAAAGAAAGTTGTGTTAGTTAGACCACTCATAACTCAAGAACGGCTGAACCGATTTTAATTATCTTTGATTTGTTGGAATCGTCTCCGCTCCGAATAGCAGAATACATTATAAAATATTGGAAAAATCCACTAATTTTAGCAAAAATAATAAATTTGCAAATGCTGTTTCAAACTGTTGACAGTTCGACATTTTGAGTGATATTGATTTCTTTTTAAATTTTTTTTTCAAATATTTCAAATATTTGAAATTTCAAATATAATAAATTCAAATATAATAAATAAATATTGTTATCAATATACCATTGAATCCACGTGACCTGTGGAACAAATATAAGGATAACATGTCAGAAGACATTTTACATAGAATTCGTGTCAGTTCAAGAAATCCCGATCTTGAAGTGAATGATGAAATGCATAATCAGGCTTTGCTCTTGATCGAAGACATATGTTAGCATACCTGCGGTAGTTTGTTAGTCAGATTAGGAATGCCAGCTCCTGATCGTGGAATAAATAACGCATTTAATCGAGAATTGGAACGTGAACGTGAATATGATCGACATGAATTAGACCAATCAGTTCAAACTAATGTGCCTCTATTGAATCCGCAACAGAAGGAAGTTTAACACTAATGAAAGCGATTGATGAAGAAAATTGTGGCTTTTTTTTCCTGGACGCCCCCGGAGGGACTGGTAAAACATTACTCATGTCATTAATTTTGGCCACTGTTCGTGCGATATTCCGACATTGCGGTAGCAGTTGCTTTTTCTGGAATAGCGGCTACATTGTTAGAAGGATGCCGTACGGCTCATTCAGCGTTAAAATTGCCGTTAAACCTTCAAACTACCGAGCAACCGATATGTAATATTGCGAAGCATTCTGCAATGGCTAAAGTTTTAGTAGCATCTAAAATCATCATCTGGGACGAATGCACAATGGCGCACAAACGCGCATTAGAAGCACTTGACAGAACATTGAAAGATCTTCGCAATGACTCGAAATGTTTTGGAGGCGCAATGATTTTACTGTCAGTCATTCCAAAATCGACTGCTGCCGACGAAATAAATGCTTGCCTTAAATCATCAAATCTTTGACGCTATGTGAAGAAGCTTTAGCTGGTAACAAACATGAGAGTTGCATTGGTAAACGATACATCTGCTGAAGAGTTCTTCAAGCAATTGCTGTTAATCGGTAATGGCCGTGTAGCTGTTGAAGAATCGAGCGGATTAATTGCATTTCCTTCAAATTTTTGCAATTTCGTTTCATCAAAAGACGAACTCATCAATGAAGTATTTCCGAACATCATTGATAATCATAAAAACAAAAAATGGTTGAGTGAGCGAGCAATTTTGGCAGCTAAGAACAAAGATGTGAATGACTTAAACTTTGTAATTCAAAATCAAATCGTTGGTACTCTGCATACATTCAAATCTATTGACTGTTCAACAAACGAAGAAGAAGCTATCAACTATCCAACTGAATTTTTAAACTCCTTGGATGTGCCTGGCTTACCACCGCACAATTTACAATTAAAGATTGGATCGGTAGTCATTATGCTTCGAAATCTAAACCAACCAAAACTATGCAATGGAACGCGTTTAGTGATAACAAAACTGATGGCCAATGTGATTCACGCAATGATACTCAAAGGAAAATTCAAAAGTGATGAAGTTCTCATTCCGAGGATTCAAATGATCTCAATCGATATGCCCTTTGAGTTTAAACGAATTCAATTTCCTATTCGGCTTGCATTCGCTATGACTATAAATAAATCACAAGGCCAATTCTTTAGTGTTTGTGGTCTGAATCTAAAAAATTCGTATTTTTCACATGGTCAATTGTACGTGGCATGTTCACGTGTAGGCAAACCATCTGCTTTATTTGTTCTTGCGCCTGATAAAAAAACAAAAAATATCGTATATTACAAGGTTCTTTATTGAAGAGAATCAATCGGAGTGCAACCCATAGGTTCTTGCTGACAGACCACTAAAATAATTAATTATATGTCAATATCCTAATAAACTATTGAATACAATAAATTTTTTGTATTCATTTTATTACGTTAATAAATTTCTAAATTTAGTTTACCTATAATTTAATATAACATTTATTGACTGTTACGCGTTACGAAGTTCGCGGGGTCACCTAGTTTTATATATAATATACTATATATACTATAATATAAACTGTACTACATAAGCTATTAATTCTTATTTTGTCTATTTTTTCTAAGTGGACTTACCTGAAATAAAAGGGAATCATAGAAAATTCCGGACACTGGTATCAAGTTACATAGGTAAGAAATTAATATTTATAAACTAATAATTTATTTTTAAAATAATTGTAACAAAAATGTGCTTAGTTGTTAGTTAGTTAGTTAGTTGTGGTGGAAGGAGGACGAGTCCTCCTCAGTTAGCTAAAGAAAAAGCCTGTTTTGAATCCACAAAAAACCTCGTGATAGTGGGTAGAAGATAGAGGGTCAAACCAAAACCAGCCAGAGGCATTAACAAAGGCAAGAATCTGGCTAATGCTAATGCTGGAGATATCGCTAAGTGAGTTGAAGTTAGCCGTTTGTATGGAAACAAACAAAAAGTGATGTTTTATATAACAATTGATCCTAGATATTATATACTATTACAAATTATCTACAGAAATGACAATCAATAAAATTTTGCAAATATAAAATGGTAAGTCATAAGTATAAAAAAGCAGATTAGATAGCATTTAGGTAATTGCTTATGTTTAATTCGAATATAGGTATATTTTTATGTTGATTATATTAGTACTTTGATTATTGCTAATAACATATATTTCGAATCAAAAATGAATAAAAATTCTTCTGATATACTATATGTCCCTCTCTCTGTTGTCGATTCAAAGATGGACTTAATTAATTTATTTTATTTGGAAACTCTTCCGGTAGTTTCACCAGTTCTTATTCGGTATCTTCATCAATCAATGTATTGATTGTCAGACTGCAATACGTGCACTTTAGATTGTTGAAATTAAAATTAATTATGCAAATTAATAAATTTATAATGATCAATTTTAGCTATATACTGAATTGAAAATGATTTACGTATCAATAAGTTGTCAAAGTTCGCAATGGTACCGCTCATCGCTTAAAGACAATGAGTTCAAATATTGTGATAATAAAAAGGTCTTCAACTCTGAAACTAAGAGTTGAATCTCTACTGTATATAAGCTTTACAGTATTGTACTGTAGACCTAATTCACATAGAAGACTACATGTTCTAGGGTATCTTAGGTAGGGTATCACAATAGTACCCTAGTATGATAAATTTTACTATATACTATATATATGATGGACATTCGCTCCTCAGTGATTTGATTCAAATAAAACTGGAATAGTAGGAATTAAATTTGAATATAAAGAAATGAAAATAAAAATAATTTATTATATTTAAAGCAAAAATATATATTCAGTATATTTATTTCAATTTTATTTCTATAGTACAAAACAGTAATCGCATTTCATTTAAAAATAATTATATTTTCTTTCAGCACTAAAACATTCTCCGTCAAAAAGAAAAAGTTTATCTAAATCTTTACAACGATCGATGGACAGTGACCAAGAAGCACGCTGTGAGTACATCATTATTTATAATTATTGATCCACTGATTTAGTTTCTTCATTTATTACAAACAATTAAATAATAAATTACATATGTTATATATTATTTTTTAATGTTAATATACACTTTAAATATATAAACTAACACATGCATCTACAATATTTTTTGAAAATGTATTTTATACAAAATTATAAGTTGATACCATATAATACTATTTCTGGTTTTAGCCAAATCTATAAATCCCTCTGCACTCTTGCGACAATATATGTATATGGTATCAGTGAACAAGCGGGCCCTATCTGGAAGGGTGTGCGACCCTTCTACAATGTTTTTTTTACATGTACTGCTTAAATCAAAAATGATAAATTGAAATAGATGAGATGTTTTATTAATAATACCTACATTACATTAGGCAATAATATTTTCTCAATATAACATTTAACAATTCACTACCAAAATAACATATTAAATAAATTGAATTTTTAATTTATATATGTACATAAAAGTTTAATATTTGATCAATATGGAATAAACACAATTTCTCACAACATCAAAGCAACTTTTTTCAAACAAAAGAGTCTGCACTTCAAACCTTACATGTTTATGCAGTGATCAAACAAAATCCAACGCACTTGCATTGTATTAATGTGCGGCCAACTACTGCGCACAACTAGCGGCAGAAATTCGTGGGTGCTACTGCTAAAAGGGGAGAGACGAAATGTACGGTGATGGGAGCTGTAAACTTAAGCGCACATCTAGTCGCTTCGCCAAATCAAAATGATTGATTCCTATACAACCAGTTCATATTCGAATAGAACAGAATAATTACTCTCATATATTTCCCACTATATAAATCTCTATTTCTCATATTTTACGCGAAAACACACGCACTTATTTTGTACACACACCTGTTTTGTTTTTGTCGCACAATTGATGACAGAAATTTATAAATGCAATTGCTTAAAGGGGAAAGACGAAGTATAATAGACATTTCTGCACACTTATGAGCTCACCTAACAATTATAGAAGCTAAGAGAAGAAAATTGATTGAATTTTCATAGACAATTCTATTTAAATGCTTTCGACAAAATTTTAATCTTTGAAAATCTATATATGTATATGTATTATATTATATTAATTCTGAAAGTACGTCGCACACCTCCGCACCATAGAGCGGTTGTCACTGTATGATATATATTATACTCATGGAGAAAATCGATTCTGGTTTTGTAATTGAAACACTTTATATTTATTTTTAATAATAATAAATTATATTGACTCCCGCAACATTATTGATTAATAAACGCTGTCCAAATTTTTATTATGTAGTACTTTAAACCGTTAAAATTCAGTCCAATAATTTTTTACTATATTTTCTTTTCATATGGATAACAAATGCAGCCAGCAACAATAAAGTGATTCAACAAATTTCCGGATTAAATCAGCAAGCATCAGATAATGTCTTATCAAATTCATCTTTAAATAATACACATATTCCTGTAAATCCAAAACAGCGACTGCTAACAGCTAATGCATCAAGTACGAAGAAATTAAAAATTCCTCCACCAGTTCCTCCTAGAGGTTCTCCACGTAAAAGAAATGCAGACGAACAGTTTATGCCTCAAAGAGCATTACCTACATCAGGTACATTAACCTTATCATCTAAAAATGATGAAGCGAATGCAGGCAATATTTCTGTAGACTGTAATTGTTATTCTAAAAGGAAATATCTGGAAGTTGAGCTTTTTCCTCGTTTTGGTGAAAAGCGTTCTCCAAGCAATGTGAGCGATTGGCTAGAAGTTCACGAAATATTTAATTTAAAAGATAATGATGACCCAACGCAGTTGCCAACCACTTCAGACACATTTATTATGAAAGAAAGTGATTCATTAGAGTCATCAATATTATCATCACATCAAATCCAACAAAACTGCTTAGTTACTAATTGTTTTGCAGAGGATTATGTTGTACAAAAGTTTCCAAGTAATAATTTAAACAATAAGATTATTGAGACCAAACAATCAAACGATTATTGTTGTCCCATCCTTGATCACGAAAACTCAAAGCGAATATTTTATATTGCTGATCTAGCATTAAAAAATATGGCTGAAGACAGTGAAGATAATTTACTACAGTCTTTCAATGCATTGTTAGAAGTGAAGACAGATTTTGAAAAAAACAAATGGTCTCGAACGTCACAATATTCAAACAAAACTCGAAATTCAAACGTGATAAAAAAAAATAATTATAGAGAAAAAAAGTTAGTTGTTCCCAGGAATTTGCCTGATGAAAAACAAAGACGAGTATCAAGAATTCAATCACTTATTCCAGAAAATTTGTCAGTTTGTTCTAGTATTAATCCAATTTACGATATCAATTTGAAAGACTTTAAAATGCCAAACAAGCGGTTCAATTTAAAACATTATGATTAAACATTATGATAGCATATGTATCATACCATATTGCTTTGTCTTGCATTAGCTTTTCATAGACATATGCGAAATAACGTAAAACTTTGTCTTAATTTGATTTCATTTCATTTTCATGTATCGCTAGGCACAACGCCATCTTGCAGTTCAACTCCACCTCCTGCCTTTGATGAAATTTCGGTTGATAGCTCAAACAAAACTAGTTCAGCTACTATTGGACGAAGCTCCCATTTATACAATGAAAGAAAGATGAATGTGGGCCCTGCTTTTCGCAGTTCGTATAAGGAGGACAATACAAGGTAAAAATAATTTAATATGGTACCTCTTTTACGCAATAATCCATTCTATAATCTACACCAATAGTTTTTGTGAAATATCATGCTGTAAGAAAGATAATGTTTTCTTAATTTTACGATATTTTATTCTTTTACCCGACATTTGTTCTATTACAAATAGTATTCACAACAAGATGTTATAGACCCAAGTCAGTTAAGAAATATACCCAAAATACAATGTTAAGCTTTTTGAAACTCATGGACTAATATCGCATTCTTACATAAATTTTTGCAAGCACTAACATGTTTTGAGAATATGGAAAAGAATTGATCGGAATATTCCGGTAAAATTATGATTTAACCAAAAAAAAATGTTAAATTACATATTTGTGAAGAATCTCGTGTATGCGATTCAAGGCTTATTAAATATTTCTTTTCCTTTGCTCTAAATGAAGCTTAGAGCTATAATAATAATATTTGCAATAATATTTCTTTATTCATGATAATTCATTTATACTTTATTTGCGCAAAAAAAAAAAAAATAAAACAAAATAATACATTTCACTAAAATTATATGTAGTAAAAACACTTTGTTTTGAAAAAGATCTAAAGTTCTACAGATTGTAGTCGGAGGAATGATTCCATCCAAATTCATATAATATAATATCTTTCCAGTTATCGCCTTTAAAAAATAGTGTACGCTTCTCAATACTAGTACTACTAGAATATAGAACTCTATATTCTAGCAGTAGCGACCATTTTCTTTATTTTTTCACTGTCTCTAATACTTTCAATGTATTCATTCAATTATGAGTATCATACACCAATTCTGTGCTTAAGAAGAAGTTGTTTAGATACATAATTTTTCAGCTTATATTTAAGAAACCTATTTAAGAAATGATTCCATGTGAATTTAATAGGTATTTTTTCTGTCTTTTCTCTTGGAAACACTCTGAGTATGCAGGTCGAAGCTAATATTTATATTCACTTAGCACTTTATTGCGCACTTACTCCAGTCCAATTCCAACATAAAACAAAAATTCCCAAACACCCTCTGAAAATGCAATAAGTTGATGATTCTACGATGCTCAATTCTTATCCATGAATTTCAATAAAGTTTTTTGCTGATCTTTGATGGAATATTCGGTGATCATGAATTTCAATCAAATTAAAGTGGGGAAATAATATTACTGATATATCAACTAAATATCGTTTAAATCAGTGAACGAAAACAAATACTAAAGTACCGAGCATAGTGTACCATTTGCCATCTTTGTTAAAAAACACTAAACGAACAGTACACTAAAAAATGTTTGAAAGTTTGTGTCCGCGAACAATATTTTAATGTACTGTTTGTGTTCGAATTTTTAAAGTTCGCATTGTGTTCTTTTCCCGAAGGTAGTGAACTTTTTAACGATCTTTTCTCGAAGGTAGTGTATTTTTAGTGTTCTTTTAGTGTCGGTCGAGTTTTGTGTCCGCGAACACGAACTTTAAAATTTTAATTTACTGTTTGTGTTCGAATTTTTAACGTTCGCATTATGTTCTTTTCCCGAAGGTAGTGAACTTTCTGACGATCTTCTCACGAATGTAATGTATTTAAGTGTTCGTCGAACAAAACAATTTGGAAACGTTTTTAATGTGCATTGTTGTTGCTTCGTTTGTATAAGAAGAAGAAAAAGTTTTGTTTGCATTTGTATTATATGTGTTTTGCTTGTGTTTTCAAATAAAGATATTGCGTATGTATTTATTGAGATATAATATTTTGATCTGTTTCGGACATGAGTAGTTCACTACGATACTGTACTGTTTATTTTCGTTCACTGGTTTAAATTATAATTATAGTGTACCTTTCGAACAAAAGCTATTTGTAATGAAAATCAGCTATATTAGTTTCCGATTGATGGAGCAGATACTTTTTGTACAAACAGCGCAAAAATGTGCGGATTTTAAGTCCGATATCTGGAGCGCCAAGATAAATATATCCGCATAGAAAACTGTAACTACCAAAAATGGTGATAACAAAAAACGTACCGTTTTCTGATAGAACTTTATGAATACATTAATTACAGCTGGAATATTCATAATATGTAGCAAATAAATTAACTGAATGATATAATATATGTTATATATCGTTTTGCAATATATAATACAAGCAGCGGTTAGTAACAATTTACCGTCATACCAAATGGCGTCTAGGAAACAACGATTGTGTCCAATTTCTGCAAAAAATCAAAGCTCTATACTATATATGTGTGCTTTTTTGCTTTTAAGTTGTTTTTGAAAAGAATAAAATAGCATTTGTTGTGGACCCAATTAGACAATGTTCCAAACTTTCGACAGTACTATACCAAACTGAGAAGAAATTACATATTTACTTGCATTCTGTTTTCTTGGAATTACTGTTCTCTATTAATCAGGCCCGCGGTTACTATTTCTTTATGTCATTATTACAAAAAGAAATCAAAATTTCTGTTATTTTATTGTCCTTAATGGTGACCACCAATGATAAATTCTCTAACTTTTATTTTGCAAGTTTTTCATTTAGTTAAGAGTTCTTAAGTTTTTACTGTTTTTAAATAAAAAGTATAAAAAAATAAAAAGGGAACCAGAAATGTTCTTACATTTTGTTATATCTCAAATTAAAAATATTAGCTATATTAGACTTACCGCCCTTTTCTGTGGACTTGACAAATTTGTCAAGTATTGACATTTAATCAAAATTTTTATCAAACAAAAAGCCATTTACTTTCTGGGCAACAGCTTCAAAGCTTAAGCACCTAGTGCTTTTTACCACACTATGGTGAAAAGTGTTTTGTATACAAAAATCAAAAATATTGTGTGGAGTAGTTATTATATTCATATCATTCCTTATTACTTCAAGTTTTTTAAATTCCTTATTTGCTATTTAATACTTTATTATGCATGCGGATATATCAAAACATTGTCGTATTTTTGCAATACTTTAATAAATAATTATAAACTCACTAATAATACCATGTATAATTTTATTATTCAGACAAGCTTGTAAAAAGCAAATATTTTATTTGTCAAGAGCATTTATCAATTTGACAATTTATCAAGAAAAGAGCTTTTTATTTGTAGCACAGAAATAAAATCTTGACAAATTGTTAACATTGACAAATAAGCGAGATGGTGAATATTTGTCAATACTTGACAAATTTGTCACGTTCACAGAATGGTGGAGTAAATATCATAAAACACTAAATAATAAGACAATATGAATAACGACTTCATTACAAATTTCACTTATAATATACTTACTATTTTTTAGTCTTTCTGAAATACATTTAGATACATACTTAGCAGCGGACACATTATCTAATAGTCAGTATAGTTCTCGTGGCGGCCTTGCGTGGACACCACCAGCATCCGGAGAAGGTTCAACTCCCACATGGACTGAAGGTACACCTAGTTTTACAGACTCTAGCTCCAGCGGAGATTTAGGTGAATTTATAACTTAATTTACTTCCAATGTTTTTTAATTTTTAAATTTCTTTATAGAAAATTGTTCACCTGTTAGCTTAACAAAAATAAATCGACGTAAACCTACTGTTGAAGATGCTTTAAACTCTCTGTCAGCCGAAATTGTAAATCCATATTAAAATTAAATGTTTGTAAATGAATATTCCATAAAATAATTAAAATTCTACAATATAAAATTATTTTAAAGATAGGTTGAATTTGTAATTAGATTTTGTTCATATTATTAATTAAATTTTTTTTTAATTCAATTTTATTGTGTTTTGTTAAAGTTATTAAAAACACAAATAATTATTGCAAATAAAATATCAAAAATACGTTAATCAATATTTAACCTTAATATTAGAAATAAGGATAGTGAATCACTTAAATTAGATGATGCTGTTTGATAGGTGATTAAATGAAACGAAGTTGTGTAATGCGAATGAACCTTCTGATCGAGGTGAGGGATCAGGGTTTAGTTTTATTTAATGTTGCTTAGTGCAGAAACAAATGTGTGACGCAAATATTTCCTGAGATTCTAGATTCATAGCCGAAGAACATTTCCATTTAGTACTCTTTAATGTATTATCTGCAGACGTACCATCAGAGGATAATTCTTTTAACACTGGAAGTGTCATGTCTACCTGTCCTGTTCTGTCTAGATCTATTTTCATCTATCTAAAGCAGTTTTGGCTGCACTTGCGCTTATACTAATAAGAGAATTATTAGTCTTTCCGAATCGAATTTGCAAACTATGTTTGGTAGGCTACGAAATCATTAATAGCGATAACCGCTGTTAATCAAGAGACAACATATAAATTATTCACCTTTGATCATCTAGGTGAAAGCATTGATCATGAGAAATAATCATGATCGAGAGTTGCGAGTTCGAATAAATTGATGGTAAATTGAGGGAAAAAGTAAATTATGTCGGTATAGCAGCGAATGTTGGTATTTACCAGAATTTCGAGTAGGATACATTGGATAAAAATTAACTAAATTATGTATTACCATAATGAAAATTTTATAAGTTGTTGAATAAATAAATCAATAAATTTGAAAATTTTTAACCATAAACAATAAATAAGTGCAATAAATAAATATTTCCATAAGTGCAATACAAAAAATCCCTACGAAATTTCAATTTACAGTAGGACCAAAGATACCTTCTTCATCCACCCTTGCGTTGTGGGTAATCGTCTCCTACAACGATTTTGATATCATGATGGGATTAGCGTTCATATTCTTGTTCAAACTTTGAATATAAAGTTTCCATGGTGTTGTCATCTTTAGTGATTTATAGTATTATTAATTCTGATAAATGTACAGTAAATGAAATATACTGTTTTTATAATTAGTTTCATGTTATAAGTTATTTTTTTTAACACTTTGATGTATCTTTCGTTAATATTCGTATTTTATACTTCTATGTTTGTGTTTTCTACTCTGATTTTTTAACTAGACCTTGTATTCTATGTTGAAAACGCGGAATGTTGCTTATTGTACTATAATATTGACTTTTCCCTTACTTTCGGTTTTTTTTCTTTTTTTTTCTAGTTCATAAGTGTCTGACATCATTCTTCGATTTACTAAAAATTGGAACCGAGTAATATACGGGTTGCCCTTTATGTCGTTATTGATTGTACTATGTTATTATATGCATACATGCCGTGAGTAAACTAAGATTTTAGAACCTGAAGTTTTTAGATCTTTTCTTAAATGAACACTGACATATGAAGTGGAGTCCAGTTTCCTCTTCATCTGCAGAGCTACAGTCACGAAAAAGTCAATATGAAATGCCATTTCATAGAATGTTTTCCTAGAATATAGTAACTCGTTAACATCGTACTGTACTGCTGCGCCTTAGCTGAAGCCGCTGCCTGACACATTTTTTGTTTAATTAAATTCAGGTCAATCTAAATATCTGACAGTAGGATTCATTTTGCTTAACTATGCTCAAATATTTTTGTTTGATTTTTAGTTTAGAGAAATGGTGTAGTGTCTACCAGTGATTTAATGGCAGCTTGTCAGTTCGAAAAGATTACGATTTTTACCTAGACCTATTTTACTGCATAGTTGATTGCCATTACTCTGCCTGAATAATACTGCCAGTGTTTACCCGTGTTGCAGTTTTTATAAAATACGCCACAGAATTTATTTGTTTTGGGACCGCTTGTGTAGATGTTTACTAGGTATAAGAAAGTCGAACTCACGGTCGATGTCTAGTTTAAAGCAAATGTAGACAATTGAGTCAGGGACTGGTAAATTCGGTTTTTTTATGATCGCTTGCCAAATATCAATATCACTTATTTAGTTTGCTGTTTTATCAGAAATTGAGATGGCAACTAATAAAGTAGAGTGAAGAAGGTTTTCGTGGGAGTGAAGTGTAGAGCACCAGTGGCGCGCAAAGCAGCCATTCTTCTTGTTTTATCAAACAGCTTTGTGTAGCCCCGTAAGAAAGGATGGGTTCTATAACAGCTGTGTAGAGCCAGAGCGTGATTCGAGGTTAAATATCCCATACGTATCCTATAGCTCTCTTCAACAACGGTAGGTGGCACATGTTGCTTTATGGACTCTTTCAGCCAAGTTACCCTACCAACTGAGTTTAGAGTCCAGAGATCAAATATTGAACTTTCGTGCTTATATTGAGCATATGCCTTTTATTTTGAGTAAAAAAACCTGAAGCAACGGGAAGAACCCGTTTTTTTCAGTTAATACCAAGATCGAATTCACAGCACCATTGTATTACCATGACGTGTAAAGAATTAATAACATCGGACAATACCTGGAAAAATTCACTCCATGAAGCGATAGCAATGTCATTTATTGCTATTGTTCCAATAGTTTGAGCAATGTGCTTACCGCTATGATTCACAAAGCCGTTCCAAAATATAAGGTGATAACCCTGGTTTCGAGTAGAATGTCTACAATTTTGGACATTTAAAGATAGAACGATTAACTTATAAATGAGTGCATGGAACGCTGTAGAAGAGAAGAGAAAAGTGCTGGATTAATAGTGTTCCTGATATGTATGTTAAGAACACTTGCCAGCACTTTCAGTAAAAAGGTAGAGAAACTGACTGGTCTGTTGTTCTTGACGTTGGAGTCTGCTGCATTTCCTACTACTTTTCCTACTTTTCCTGCTTTTCCTACTATTATAAATATTTAGAAGCCAGGGAACAGTTTTCCCTGTTGAATATCAGCGGAAATATCGCCGTCCGGATGTGGAGATTTATAAGGTTTGTAAGTTTGTATGCCCCATTTGATTCGAGTGATAGTCATGTGGCAGTGTTATGGTTTTTCTGTGATGAATGATGTCACTTCTTCTCCCAAACAAATATTATATTCTTGGTTGATATTGTTGAGGTCGTAGGTGTCGTTGCTGTTGAAATCCTACCGAAAACCCGTAAAATAATACACTCTTTTTAATTGTTAGAAATACACGACTTTATTGATTTCAATTTATGTGCCAGCGCTACTACGCTTCACGACTTTACAATTCTACACTCTGTACTTAATACTTTTTCAAGCGCGACTACGCTTAACCACTTTATATTTCTAAGAGAGACAGTTCAAATTTTGAACCCATCTTATATGTATACCTAAACTTGATGCAAAAATCCAATATGTGACCTTAGAATTACCCTAGTTACCTTATTGGGCTTTTCCATAGTTTCATAATTTACTTTGCTAAATTCGCAAAGTTTTTATTATTACAAGAATGCTCTACATATTTTTGCAATTCTTCCGTATTTAACATTTTCAAAGTCACTTACATCATGACACCAATTACTAACCAAATACCAAAAATCAACATTTCTTATCGTCGAACTGACGGTCTGATGCTTTGGTTCTAGTCAATAACTGCCCAGATGCAAATAATCTTGCCTATTTTTAGGGAAAATGTACGATCACCTAAGATCGTACACACTACATTACGGAAAAACTGCCAAAACCGTGAAATTAAATACCGTGAAATAAATATTTAACTCACAACAGCAGTTACAAAGTTAGCGAGAATCACCCGATGCTACCGTGCCACATGACATCTAGATCCAGAAAGCTGTAGCCACCACCAAAAGGTAATCAACTCAAACGGTTATTGCTAGCAGATGGTTTAGCCCATGAAAGGGACAGCATCTAGGAAGGAAAGACCTTTAGATAGTACCCAGGGTGCACCACGTAGGTGTGATTTAAACTTCACCTCTCTAAAAGATTAAAATCTGTTTATTTTCTACTCGTTTTGGCACTGCTCATACCATATTCATGAAAGCTTTATTAATTAATCTGTGCTGCATACCTCTTCAATTTTCATTTTATTTCTCTGGTCAACTGTAAGCTGACCCTTGAATTTCCAGATCTATTACTCCATGTGTGTCCACTAATATTTCCGTCACATTTAAAAATATGCTTAAACAACCTTGTAATCGCTATCAATAAATAGACCGAGAAATCATTTTAGATTCTATTTCATGTCACATTTATTTGTGAGAAATTCCAATATATCACAGTAAGTTTTAACTTCTTTATTATCGTGTCTATCCTTAACTTAGTATCCTGATATTTTTCTCGATAAATCTAAAATTTCTGTTGGTTTTAATTACGCCAACAAAAGCTCTTGGGTCTCAAGTTGTCCCTATGTCCCTAACAGGTGTATTCACAACATCTAAGCTAGTTCAGAGCGACGTATTTTTAAAGAAGACATTGATGGACTCAGTAGGTAGCCTGAAATGTATTCTGAGCCATAGGAACATTCCTGTCTACTGCAAAGCCAACGAATTGACCAGAAGTGGCACACAACCTTCCATTACATTAATTATTTTTGATCCAGGATTGTCTTTATCTTCGGCACTTTTCAATAGAGCAATGGATTGCAATGTATTTTCATTACAGGTAGCAAATGTGGCTTCACTACTCCATGTTAATGCTGAACGAAAAAAATGGTTCGAATGCACAGTAGGAGCAAGAATATCTTTAGCTCAAAAGGACATAAAGTGGTGTTCTTACCTTTCGACCTCATCTACTGTCATCCAATTCGATATCTTTGGACAAAGAAGGCAGATCAACAGATTTCAGAATGAATCTAAAAAATCGACATATAGTAATTTTTTAAACTCTGTATTTATCTTTGAGTTTACTATGTCTATAGTCACTGGATAAGTCGCCACTACTTACGTCCCTTTCAGCCTAATAAATCTGACTTGCATTACCTGATCTCTTAGTCCGTTCATGAAATATCTCGCAACCATTTGTAAAAATATCTCGTTTCCATCCTTTGCGTTCTTATGATTGTTTGTACTAGATATAGCTTGTTAACATGCTTGTTTGTTAATGTAGGGACCGTAGCAGACTCGTTATACTTTCAATGTGAGTATGTCGTCATATCATATTATGCATAACTCTTGAAATGACATAATTATAAGTTTGTTCAGAGCGCAGCTAATGGATGCATTGGGAAAATACTGCGTAAGCTCTAAGTCGTATGCACTCTCGTTGTTAAATAATTTTTAATTTCATATTGTAATTATCGTATTTCTCTATACTGGTTTTATTTTTGTGTATGTTTCGTAAACCATATAGTAGTCCTGATAACTCTGTTAAGTGATTTTGTCTGTGATAAGTTAGATAAATTAGACATACTTACGTAAGAAAATTATATTGTAATAATAAGAGTTACATATAAGTTGTTTATTTATAAGTGCCAACTTTCCAAGCTTAAAAATATATTGTATTATATTAAATTAAAATTTAAAAGTTAAAATTAGAATTGCAATAAAAATATGTACAGAATTGAAATTATTTGATAATAAATGTAATTTTATTATATAGTTGCATATTTCTATACAATTACGGTTAATTACTAAAATTACCATTTCTTACATTTACATGCATGTACAAAATAAGCATTTTAAAATACCGCAAAATTTATTTATTCATTAAGATCTAAGTGTAAATACCCTACAAGAACATACATATATATAATCAAAACAGATCGAACTAACTGCTTAAAGCCAATGACGCAATCGACATAACAACAGCAACTGTCGTCCATTTACGATGTATGTTGGTAGCTCTATCTAAAAATATAAATAAAACACAAACCATAACTGAGATTATTATTGGCCGTCCCAGATAAGAATCAAAATTTTATTTAACATAAAACGGATAAACTAAGCCGTCTAGAAATAATATGAGATGCACCTGAACTGTAAAATAATTTGCATATAAGTTTGCTCTACCAATCTGTTAATTACATTCCACGTATACGTCCTTGGGAATACACTTATATTAACTATATAAACAATATAAAAAAAATTTACGTTTTCAGACCTGTTCGATAGTGATAGATTAATTACAATGTTTATGAGTTAACGAATTACCGAAGACAAAAATGAACAGATTCGATCATTTTTTTGAACTTTTAATTTTTTTTCACGGTTCTTTTTATTTCCTTGGTCCTATGTACAACAAATCAAACAAAATTAAAATCGTATTTTTCCCAAGGACAAATTAAAAATGAGCGTTCACATGTTTTTGACATTCATACTTGACCGATTACCGGGTTACCGAGTTACCGGATACCCTCTATATCGCCAACATAATAATAAATGTAACGAAACATATTTATAATAAAGTAAAAGCTTTGTTAAAGAACTTAAGTAATAATTTACGATTTTAATATATGTTTGAGATAACTTTTTTTATTCATTAGGGAGTGAAAATAAAAACTTACTAAAGGTTTATACCAATACTTTTTGAATCATTTGAAATATCAGAATAATTTAAGAACTCCGAATGTGTTTAAAAAATTATAGGAAAACGATATTGAAGAATAGTCTTAAAATTCAATTAGGTATAAGGCAAACGCACAATTAAAATATGTAAAGAAAATAATATCCTTTAATGGCTATTTCCATCTTTCTTTCTGTAGAACACAGAATTGCATAATATATCACATCACAATAATATATAAATATAAAAATTAATTTTTAGGTAAATATTGAATTTACGTACATTATTATCTATTTCTATTTATGAATAAATAAATGTAATGAAAATGTGGAAATAGTTTTTTATGATATATAAATAATCTGTTTTCCATAGAACCATCAGCAAATTAAATGTCGCAAGTAGTACTTAGACTTTATATATTTATAGACTTTATAAGCAGGAACCAAAAATAATAGTTATCTCAAAAATTTTCACAAAAAAAACTTGCCAAGGTTCTTATTTAAGTAGTTATTAATCTAACTACATTTATCATTTGTATAATGCATGATTTACATACAGTGTATTTGCCTTTTGAAATGAGAAGAATATATATATAAAATATTAGAAAATAATTATTATTATTCGCCTTTTACTTTTTCAATTATATATAAATTAATCGTACATTCTGCAAAAATTAATTATTATTCTTGCCTAAAAAATGAAAAACTCAAAAATAATTATAATTTTTTTAAGGTAAAAAAAAATGCTTTGTGTTTTAAAAAGCAAATATGAGGCGCAAATCTAGCATTTTATTTTTGAGCAGAGCAAAATAAAACTCATTCTATGTGTTTGATTGTTGATGTTGTGAACTCACAGACAAAATGTTCAAAACGTTTTGTTCAGATAAAAAGTTAATATTCTTAATGGAGTTAATATTGATGCCTCACTTGCAAATTTGGGAGCGAATTGAAATATATTATATTTTTTATAATATATTTTGCTAGTAGTTAGTTTTTGAACTATATTTAATACAGTTTGGTATATAGTGATATCGTCTAGTTTTGAACAATTATTCTTACTCCTACATTTGTATGAACTTTCAAGAAATTTTTTATATACGTGAATTATTGATATAAGTCATTTGCATTTGGTGTATCACGGGACTATCACGAGACTACCAATTACGAGTAGTCTTATTTCTTGTTATATAGCAGTGCTTACAGAGATGATATGCTCTATATATTGAAATATTACTATTACTATTTCACTGTCTTATTTTTATTTACGGAATTCACATATACGTTAACTATATGATATTACTAAGACCTTAAATATACAATTCTTATGAAATAAAGCTTATTTGCTTTGAAATCTTTCTTTGCTTCTTAGAATTTGTGTAAACTAAATTTTTAATTCATATATTTAACCTCATATAAATATAAAGACTGTGCTTAATTTTCTTACCTACTTACCATAAAAAATAGTTTCTCTTCGTTTGGTATAATTAGTACCAAGCAGATAAAAAGCACAAGTTATTGGTGTCGGTGATTCTAATTTTTCTCTAGGAATTTTCGTTCTGACCGTCATACTATACAATCCACTAGAATTTTGATCCATTTGCGTTAAAACCGAATCAAGAATTTTAGTATCGAATCTAAAAATAGCTTCAATAAATCGGGAGTTCTGATATTAATACGTAAAAAATCTTACATTACGGAAAGTACTGGCTGTGGAAAAACATTCTGAACTGCACACATGACATCTACATCAGTGTGTTTTTTATCCATTCTAGCCTCCAAGACGAAATCGGATTCAGGAACTAGTTTAATGCAAGAAAAGTAATTTATTTTTGTGTCAATTATAATTTTTTAGTCTTTAAAATATATTATAAATATATATAAATATAAATATATATAATTATAGATAACATTTTTTAATTATTATCAAAATTTTGATGAATAATTTATTAAATAGTAATATAAAAATTCGCAATATACGACACCTTTTAAAGTAATTCATTAAAATATTTCTGTCAGTCATTCTAAAACCAGTCACAAAAAATGAATATAACATAACATTACTTAACACAACGTAACACTGCTTAAAATAACGTAATACAGCTTAACATAACATAACTTAATAATAGATCTGTTCCACGAACTACTCGTAGTAACTTCGAGTACCACTGAATTCACAAGTCCCTTCCACCAGCAAATCTTCTTGTATTTTCGGGTAAATTTTACTTGTGTTTTACTTGAGTTTACTACGAGTAGCTCGTGGAACAGACCTAATAATATATAATGTGATATCTGAAAGCATAACACAAAAACATAGAAATAAAAAACAAGTAATTTCCCTCTGTTAAAGAAATCGTCAATTCTGAAAAGGTAGAGGCAATGGGGTACACATGTCTGTTCAAAAATAAAAACTATAGTACTTATTATATCATGTATGATTACTAATATTATGTTAGTGGAGACAGCAATCAAACCAATAGCGAATACAATATATTTTACTTGGGCAAAACTATTTCTATGTTTTTGGTATAACGTGATATATAAAGACAGAAATATTTATATGTCTTTGATATATGTACTTAAGATAAAATAACATGGACGTAACTTAACATAACGTAACATAACTTAACAAAACTTTATATAACATAATATAATCAGGAATTATAAAAACCATTTATAAAGGAAGTAAATTTTTAGAACCCGATTGTCGCTACGCATCGATTAGAGATGGTTATTATTGGTTATTATGTCTTCAATGAAGGAAATCTTAAACATTATCTGTGAAATAATGGTTGCAATAATTCAAAAATGCAATGCGATATGCCAATTTGTAAGACGCCTACTAAGGACATAATGATATTTATTTATATATTCACATGTACGCACATTAGTCAAGATCGGTCAACATTGCTCAAGATATATATATATTGTATTGTATTATAATATTTGTATTTAAATAATTTATATCATATTTGCAACAGGCTGGCAGAACATGTTAATCCCTTAGCAAGAAATCTCGCACATCTATCCTCTACTTCCCGCCTAAAAAGAGCCGTTCACCCATTAATTAATATTCAATAGCTTGAAGCAAAAACCGCACCTTTCTTTTAACTAATCGGATAAAGTTGAACTGCTTTCTCAATTACCACCTTACATTCACTCCAATGAAATTTAACCCATTGATCTAAGTGAGGTTCGTGATATAAGGTTTACTTATTTTATTATATTTTACACTATGTAAAGGAAAAATTAAAATTTGTAATATTATGTAATTAGTTATAAGATTTTAGAACTTATTGTTAGTCTCATTCTAAGAGAAGATGCAATAAATAAATGTATGTTTTACAAAAACAAGAAAAAAAAAATATTTGTAATAACATTAAGTTGATTCTATCAACTTTATTAAGTTGACAAAAAACTAGTGGCAACTAATAGAGAGCTTCAGTTTTTGTTAATTAATGTTTCATATCCCTGAAAATGTTGGCGAATACCAACTAATTCAGGTATATATGCATGTTTGAATATGATTAAAGTATTTGACAAAATAAACTGGTCTAATTTATTTACTAGTTTGAAAATGTGTCTCAATTATTTTCACTAAAAAATCTTGGTCTCAGCGACAAGACTCATTTTTATTTTGATAGCTACGTGTAGACAAAGGTCTACGTAGAGAAGCAACCAGAAATCATTACTGAGATACTGTTACGAAAACGCCCTCTGTGGTGAGTTTAATGGGCTAGTAAAAGTTATGTTGACAATACCGTCTCATTCTAGTTCTCTACCTACTTCGCAGAAATTACTTCCTATGCGAAAGTTTATTGTAATACAGGCATATAGTAGTTCTTGTAGTTTCCCGCCAAGTCATTTTTATGAGCCTGTACCTCTAATAGTCTATGTTCCATGACAGTACCAATAATTACTCTACAGTTCTTTTATGGAAAATGAGTGCAAAATTGGTGAGTTTTCTATCGAAACTCTTACAAATCCTACTAAAACATGTAATTATTAAGTTTTTAATTCCCGCTCTAGTTGTTTGCATAAATTATATATATACTATAATATATAATCGATGCTAAAGAAAGTCATATGAAATACTAAACACATTAAATAAAAAGTTCTTATGAAATAAATTGATTGTCAAACAATTCTATATCATTAGTGAAATATAAATTCAAAAAAAAGCAAGTAAACTCATCTTTGACATACTGTACATCTAACTGCCATCACCAATCATAGACCAACAGGTGGATTAAATATAATAATGATGTATAAAAACAGATTTCGAAAAATGATGACTCCCATCAAAAAAGATGATGTTGCTTTTGGTAGCATTGTAAGATTGTTAGTCACTACAAGCTATTCGTACCTAACCCAATTTCTGATTCGAATCTCTATAGAAATTATAAAAAGGGTTTGGATTCGATCCAGAGGAGAAGTACCAACATGGATGCAACGCTTGGTCACATAGATTTTTAGCTATAAGTTTCGATACACCTATCATTTAGCCCTCGCTTATATCATCATATCAACGTCAATATCAGATATTACAAAAATTCTTAAACATTCGACTCACAGAATTCTTGACCAATTAAAAGTGTGGTACAAAAACTGTGTTTATTTGAATTAAATAATTTAAACAAATAAAATTCAAAAATTTTTTTATTCGGGCATCAATAAATTTAATAGAACTACTGAAAACAATTCAGATATATACATTCATAACGAAAAATTTTTAAATACTACTTTGAATGTTCCCCATATGTAGCTGTATACCACATAGTCGATCTATATATACAGATCAGATCAGCTGGCCAGATCAGTTTAGATTTAAACCGATCTGGCCTTCTTTACTTCTAATAAATTACTTCAAATTTGAGTTCGTACTCAGCTTATACATTGTAGCAAAACTCTACAGATCGGCTTACTTTTAGACACGAGTATCAAATTTATCTTCATAAAGTATATTAATAATAGTTACTAGTAATACTAGTTTCTTGGAGTTAACGTTATTGACAGGCATTGGTAACTTCAAGTCGATTCATAAAAAAGAAAAAATAATGGGCAATACCGATCAAAAGTTTTGCATGTACACTTTCAAAATTATCAGTTTAAAAACAACAAATTTTTCTTTTAATTAAATCTCGTCAAACATACAAATTTTAATTGCCGGTAAGTTTTTTTGAATAATAATCTTCAAATTTAGAGGTAAATAAAAGCACACTGTTACTATTGTTCAACTTAGTGAGCTCCTATATAAGTTATTTATAAAACTATCATTAAAATATATTGCCAACGTATATATATTTTAACAAAAATTAAAACCAAAATATCGGTCCATCTTTTAATCACTGATTATGATTACCAAATCACTATTGTTGTTATATATACGTACCAATAATTTGTAAGCGGGCACTTTTTTTATCTGTTGATTCAAATGTTTGAACAGCGCAGGTATACTCCCCAGTCATATTCCAATCAGGTTTATTGATCGAAATTATGCCTGGACTGCCTTCCATGGTAAAAATGTTGGTATCTATTTTAGATTTCATAAATCCCTGGTAATATATATTATATTTAGAATCCATATATAATGCTAAGAACATAAAGCTTTTAAATATTAAAGTTACCATTGCGAATCCCTTAACTGATGGTATCCATTGATAAATTGAATGATTGTTAAATAACCATTTTAACACAAACCCCTTTTCTCTTGGACCGACTTCATATTCACAATCAAGCACTAAAGGACTGCGCTCAGAATTTCGTTCTAATGTGTACGTATGTGGAACTTTTAAGTTGGTTATGTGCACTGATGTAGTAACTAAAAAAAAAGCAATGTTGAAGATATTTCCTTCATTTAGAAAATTCTCCGCTTAAAACCTGTTATAAGTGTTAACCAAGCCAGTAAAAACGCCCACAGGGATCTCCTATTCGCCATCAGCATCAAATATAATAATACTTCCCTAGTAATAAACTGAATTATACATTTCTAGTATTAATCGCACATAACAAAATGTTTCATTCAATTACAAATCAGTTGTTGTTACATATATCTCACATTTATGTAATTCATCTCATTCATTTATCATTTCGTTGTCATCTAGCTGTCGATGTTGTTGTCCTTTTAGAAGTCGAACACTTAAACACTGCGAAATAGTTTATACATATTTTGGTTTATATCATACTCCAACACTTGCTTTCATATGCATAATAAAGTACTTTAATAGAAATCTCATTAGAACTAATTGTAGTTAGTCATATTTAATATATGAGTTTCAGCAAAAGTTTTAAATGAAAGAAAAAAATTGTGTGCTCTATGGAAAAATTGTGCTGTTAATTTTTATAATCAATTTTTGTGGTAGCCCTTATGAAAAGCTTTAAGTTTTGCGATTGCGCAAAAATATTTATTAATTTTTATCTGAAAAAAAGCTCTTAAGGCGAAAAATGTCAAAATTTACAGAAATAAACAAGGCTGAATTAAAAAGTATCTTCAACAATTCACCAATACCCAGATACAAACAAATAATGCATGTTACCCTGTCAGATAAACCAACACTAAAATGCTCCAGCCGAAAAATATAATATAATATAATATAATATAATATAATATAATATAATATAATATAATATAATATAATATATAATATATAATATATAAAACAATATAATATAATATAATATAATATAATATAATATGATATAATATAATGTAATATAATATAATATAATATATTTCAATATATATATATGTATATATTAATATATTTTATATTGTTATATATTATTATTGTATACGTATAATATATATAATATAATATTTATTGATATATATATATATTTATTAATATATTATTTTTATAATATAATGTATACATAATATATATAAAAATAATATATTAATTAATATATATATATATATCAATAAATATTATATTATATATATTATACATGTACAATAATAATATATAACAATGTAAAATATATTAATATAATATATAATATAATTATTCTATTATTATTATCAATAAATATTATATTATATATATTATACATGTACAATAATAATATATAACAATGTAAAATATATTAATATAATATATAATATAATTATTATTATGCATAATAATTATAATAATAATAATTATGGTTAGTATTATAATAATATTATATGATATGTATTAATATAATTATAACAAACATTAATATAATAAACGTATTAATATATAATAAGGATGTATATAAGTATATATATATTATATATATAATTATATATATATATAATATATATATTAATAATATAATATAATATAATATAATATAATATAATATAATATAATATAATATAATATAATATAATATAATATAATATAATATAATATAATATAATAAAAAAAAATCAGTACTGGGATAATCTAATAGAACTTTTTGTAGTCGAGAGAATAAGACCATAAAAAAGTATATTTAGTATTTAGAAAAATAGCCGAATTCCATAAAGGAGACATCATAGATCGCAGTTTAAGTCCCCCAACATAATAATGTTATAATCTTTATCAATACCAGAATTTCTGACAGATGTATGTGGGTCCTCCGGAATGGATGCAGTGGACTTATATATCATTTCATTCGTACATAGGTGAGGTCAAATAATTTAAGAATTCACTCAATACATCCATAACTACTGGCCGATAGAACATTTTCAGTGTCATTAGCAACAACATTGTGCGGTCTATCATTGAATGCTATACTATGATGTACCGAATTAGAATCACTGAACGCCGCTGCGTTTGGGTGCAGTAAGGGAGCTCTGTATTATGAGAGAAGGGGAAAGTGTACCATTGTTGTTACTAAAGACGTTAATTTGCCAAATTAGAGAATTTTTAACAACTTTGCAGCAACAATTACGGCAATTGCGGTTTCTGGTATTACGAATAAATAAATCAGAAGCGATGTGCCGTATAAAAAAGGGCTGACCGCTGCTACTGTTGCTTGCCGTCCATCTGTTGTAACTCCTGGTAGAGCTTATGTGTAGAGATTTTTGTGTGAAGTGAGATTGTTTTTGTGATCTGTGCAGTACCCCTCCCCATGGGTACATGGGTGAGGGCTCGGCTTCCGTTGTTTCGGCCACAAGCGGCTTAATAGAAGCCTGCATCCTCACTGTCCTGTTGCTGTTATTATCATCTATTGTCACGGATGTGGTTGCTGTGAAACAGTGGAAATTGTCTTACTATATCAAGGAGGATGTGTTTAAATCTGTCGCTAAAGCTTTAATAATTGGCAAGACACGCAGTTTCTGACAAAATTCGCTACATCTATTGCGAAATCTGGTCAGATGAAGATTGCCTGAACCAATACATGTACTTTCGGTCGAAATTAGTTGTTGGAACGTCATTGAACACCTCAGTACTGGAGAACGGTAACTTGTACGCTTCTAACTTCAAAGATTATTCACTAGTGACACCAGCTCTTCATAGCTCTTTTGTACTTTCGATAGCATTAATACTTCTGCTGCTTCGCATTAATTTGTTGCAGTTCGAGAAAGACTGTCGTCTACATAGTTTTCGGTGTCTCGTTTGTGACATATGCCGATTAATAATTGGCTTATAAGTTGAGAAACGTAGCATTTCCTGAAGTAAGATTGTATAAAACAGTGCTGGTTGTAAATGACTTTAGATGAAAACGGGTGGTAAATATTAATAAATGATTCTACCAATGATCTACTCACTACTGGAATTTTAGGTCTTATTTATATAAAACGATGCCTCTGTTGTCTGTTCAAACAAGCATTAGCGCTTTGTTGCGTATCATTTAATATCGGCATATGAAAAATGTTCACAAAATAATGTCAATAATAAATAGTTTTTGAAATATGCATTTATAGGTAACGGCCTGCGCATAAGAAATATAATAACATCTACTTTACTCTAGAAGGTATTTATGTTTTTAATTTACTAATAATTCACTTTGATTATCCAATTAACAAGGTTGCCAAACATGTATTATACATATCATCTTTACAGAATATCTAGAACTATTGCCTTCAAAAGAGAAACAACTGATTTTTAGTCAGTATATACGTTGTGGGTCAACTCAAATACGTAATAATATAGTAAATTAGTATATATATAGTAAATTTACTATATAATTTACTATATACTATATAATATAGTAAAGACCTAACAACAAATATATGTTATAAAGAGTCTTAACTTCGAAATTAGTATCCAAACATGTAATGATAATAGTACATGGATTATCTGTAGGTCTGGGGGTCTATTCATCAACTGAGTGATCATAAAAGGTAAAGTGTCTGATTGCATTTAACATGGTTAATGCAAGCGCGTCACTGTCTTCTCCAAGTTGACACACAGCCTCCACGTTTCCCTCTCTGGATAGCTACAATCATCCGTACGTAATGAACTAATGTGTGCAGCGAAATCTTCCTCATTAATATTTGAGGTTATGCATCGGGCTTGGAAACCATTATTTAAAAACATCTTTCAATTAAAACGTAGACATAGTCTCAGATAAGGAAATTATTTACTGATGACGACAATCGCGAACGTTATATGGAACACGATTTAAAAATATGTACCTGGAATGTCTGAACTCTTTACAAAGAAGGTGCATTTATGCATCTGGTTAATGTCCTCAAGAAATATAAGGCTGACATTGACAAGGATGCTCTAAATGACAACATTGTGATATCTACTAAGGCTGCCATGCAACAAAGCACGAAGCCGACGGTTGAGAAATTTGGTCTCAACATTTACACTAATAAAGGAAATACTTGTCAATATCCGTATGAAGGCAAGCTATTTCTACATTACTCTAATTTGTGCAAGGAAACTTTCTATGAATAGCTTCAACAAGCATATGAACGCTGTCCCTATCACACATCAAAATCGTTGAGGGAGACTTTAATGCAAAGGTGGGTAAAAAAGGTATCTTTGGTGTCACTGTCGGAAAGTTCAGCCTTTACACATAAACTTCTGATAATGAAGGCTGATTGATTTCACCGCGGCCAGAAACATGGTGATTAGTAGTACCAGATTCCAGCATCTCATCATATATAAAGCAACATGGCTATCACCGGATCAAAATAAAAGATATCAAATTGATTACGTTCTGATAGACGGAAGGCATGCTTCCAGTGTTTTGGGTGTAGGTACTATCCGAGGAGCCATAGAGCCGGATCACTATCTTATTGCAGCCAAGATCCACACACGTTTATGTGTGATAAAAAAGGTACGTGAACAAGTACAGCGAAAGCTAGACGTCGAAAACCTGCAATCACAACAGCTAATGACTTCCCTAATCCGCTCTCCCAGTATTTGAAGAAACCGGTATATGCGCGCAATGGAACCACATCTCCAACTCTATGTATATCGTTACTGAAGAGGTGATTGGCTATTACCGTAGAAAAAGAAACAGCTAGTAGGATCAAGAGTGTTGTGACGCTAGCGCAGAGAAATACCCAGCATACAATATCGGCGAAAGACAAGGGAATAAAAACGCCTTTCAAAGACTACTCGACGCGGGCAAGGACGACTTACGTCTGTAATGGCCAACCAAGTAAGTATGGTGAGTTATCCCTCCATTATGAATAGTGAGTATTTTTGTCAAAATTATACACTTTCATCAAATTTTATTTACCGCAAATTTGGCAGTGAATTGTTAAAGAAAAATAGATAATTTTGTGCAAAATTAAGTATAATTTTGTATTATTATTTTTCATAGGTTTTAAAAATGGAAAAATGTCAAAAGCAAGCGAAGAGCAAAAGTTTGTATTGGAATGTCAATGTAGCATTTTCCAACGAAACTAAAATTTTGAAATTTTATGTTATAAGAATTGTAAAAAAATTATAAATATATAAAATAAAAATTTATTATATAAAAATTATTATAAAATTGCATTTCTGCTCACAGTTGAGAAATCGATCCCCTGATAACTATATAATAAGATAATAATGATTGTTGAAAATGGTGACGAGATTATCGTGATACTGGTCTGGAGTAACTCTTTGCTGTAGAACTTAATTGGCACAAAAATTATAAAAAAATCAAGGATTTCGGCTGATGATATAGGACCACAGAATAGAATCTGATTATTATATACACATCATGTCATCAGTTTTTTAACAGCACATTTCCAAGAAAATTTTGACGGCTCAAAAAATTTTTGATCGTTATCAAAAATAATTCAAACAAAAGATACGAGGGTGGTTTGATAAGTCCGTGACTTTTTGAATTTCCCGCGCAGTTACTCCAAATGCAACAGTGCTGCCACCAGCTGTTATCTACCAGTGGACAACTTTTTTCCATTTTCGTGGTA